GACATTGCTCCACACGCCATGTGTGAGTAACTAACCACCAGGTCTCGTGGTTGAAAATGGAGCAAATGAATGTGCAGATACACAGCGACACACAGAGAGGAAAAGATACCGAGAAAATCTGACAGAGAGAGAGGGGGTGGGGGGTGGGGGGTGAACCCACAGGGGATGGAGTTGGGAATCAGACAGCGCCACAGAGGCTCATTCATAAAGAAAGTCTATTTATATTCATTGGCCACAGTGCGATATAGCCTTTTGCTCACCTCCCTCCTGTCCACCTGAAGCAGTCAGTGGTCAATGCCCACGTCTCAGGCACACAGTAAACAGCCATCAAAGTCTGGCCCAGAGGCAGCTTCCTCTGGATCCTCTCTGACCTCAGCCCCTGTGGATCTCACCAGGAACCAGTGGTCATTTCCCACCAGGATCCAGTCCTTATCCAATCAGAGTCAGGTTCCCATGGATTCTGCTGTCGATTTACCCCATTCACAGACTGAGATGGTACAGGTTTGTTGGTGATTTTTCTGGTCAACTCCCAATGAGAAGCCAATGTTCCGGATTACTTATTTATGCCCCAAATGTCAAATCCATTCGTTTTATCAACTTTGGAGAATTTCATGTTCTCAAGACCCTCCTCTCCGACCTCACCTTCAGTCACCCCCCTACCAGCCTTCACCCATCCCTCCTGATCCCAACCCCCAGCTTGGGTGCAAATGCTTGACTGCGCAGCACCTTGGGACATCCTCCCAACGTGAAAGACGCCGTGTAAATGTAATTTGTTGTTGTTGTTGGATGTGTCTGGAATAGTATTCAGAACTGTGTCCGATTGCGGTGAGAAATTTGTGTTTTGGGATCCAATGATTAATTCCCTATAATGAAGGGTGCTGTGTAAGTGTAAGTTGCTGTTGTTGGAAGGATTCCTTCAAATGTTCGAATAATTCCCGGTTGCTGTGGTCTCAGTGGATGAATTTGTCAGAATTCTGGTTTTGCAAAAGGGAGATTCTGAGAGTCTAAAAATGGAATGGATTCAGCGAATTTGGTTTGAGCCCAAAGCTCCTCAGAATTTTGTCTCTTTTTCACTTTATTTTTGCGGGTGTCTGGGTTGTGTTGGTTGGTGTGCGCGTGTGCGTGTCTAGGTTGTGTGGTTTGTGTGCGTGTGTTGGTTAGTGTGTGCGACTATGTGTGTGTCCGTGTGTGATTGGCAGCCTCTCCGCCACACCCTTAACACACTCTTGTTTATCGACACTGACAATGGAATGAAACCTAAATCCAAAATGGTATTATTCCCAGGTCCAGTGTGGTGTTAGCCGGTAGATTAACCTTGCCTTGCCTGGCAGTACTGTAGTTTAATAAAACTCCTTTCCTTGCCTCCCAATGTGGGTTTGCATAATTAGAAATTACAAGTGTTCCCATTTTTTATTCCTGACACTCGTGGAAACCCATCGCCCATCACTTAAAAGTTGTCCTTCTGTCGATCTGCCAAGAAGCTTTGGTTGAAGCAGAAAGCATCAATGTGTTTAGGAGGCATATCAATAATTAATCCTTGCATTTGATACAGAGCCTTATATCATTGAGGCATTTCAAAGCGCTTCATAGAAAAACTGGTGGTGTAACTGTGTATTTTGTGGGCGAAATGCAGCAGCCAATTGCACACAGAATTATCCCACAAACAGTCATGGATTGAGTGACCAAATTATTATTTTTTTGGAGTGATTATTGCCCCCAGAAGAGATCCGCCAAACGACTAACAATTGGGTTCCCACTTACTGCTGGTAACAGAGGCCTGTAGAGTCAGGAAACTCGAGAGGTTTTGCTCTGCCTGGGAATCGAACTCTCTAACCACTGAGCTACAGGACTCCACAAATTTCAGTAAGTAAAGTCAATGAATAATTGGGAGCATAATACACATCGACGATTGACTTGAAATGGCTTCAGAAAGGCAATATAATAAAACATTGTTGAATGCTAGGGCACTTCTCATTCCCCTGTAATGTATTCCTACATCTGTGATAATAATAATAATCCTTGCATTTGATATAGCGCTTTTCACGTCTTTGAGCTGTCTCCAAGCGCTTCACAGAATATATTGTAAAATGTATTGACTATATATTTTGTGGGTGAAATGCAGCAGCCAATTAAGCACAACAGCGTCCCACAAGCAGTCATGGATTCAGCGACCAAAATTATTATTGGTTTTTTTTCTTGAGGGATTATTATCAGGCGTGTGGAGTAAGGAAACTTGCCCAAAGTTCACCCTGCCGTGAATCAAACCCAGGTCTCTCGCTTGCGAGGCGAGTGCTCTAACCACTGAGCTACAGGACTCCTAAACTATTGACCATTAAACACACAAAAATCTGCTGGCAATAAAATAGCCACAGAACATTCTGCTGGTCATAAACTGTTAAAAGATCTGTATAAACCAGCAAATACAACACAAACTGGTAGGTAATAAAATGATTACACATCCCATTCCGCTGGTAGTAAACTAGAGGAGAAGGTGCCTTTTGACCTGTAATCTATGATGTGAGCTGTAAAAGCAGAGGCTACGACTTGTGGAAGTGGGGATACACTGACTCTCATTTCTCACTGTGATCCTCTCCAACAGCCACGTGCGTGTGAGGTCCTGCAGGAGATGGTGATCTGCTATCTCCAATAGAGACCTGTCCTCTCCCTCTGCTCACCGGGCTCCAGCCTGCTCCATGTCCCCCGCCCACCCCACCATTGGCCGTTGGCCTTTCAGCTTCACTTCGCCTCGCTCCCTCCCTTCTTTAAGGCACATCTCAAGAGCTTCCTCTTTGACCGTGCCTTTGGTCACTCTCCTTACCCCCACCCTCCCTGCCCTCCACCCCTCCTGATCCCAACACCCTGCTCAGGTCCAAATCCCTGACTGTCCTGCGCCTTGGGACGTCCTCCTGATGTGAAAGGCGTTGTGTAAATGTCATTTGTTGTTTTTCTATCAATGCAATCGAGAAATAGATAGATTGACTACGGAACGATTCCTCTGTTGCAGGGGGAAAAAATTGTCTGACGGGATCTGGTCTGGTAAGAGAGAGGATTTATTTATTTGTTAAGTATCTGCGATTTTATTTTACTTGCTGCAGAGGGAACAGGAGGTGAGGTGATGGGGACAGGAGGGACGGGGAAAGGAGGGAGCGGGAGAGGAGGGAAGGGGAGGCGGAGTGAGGGAGGAGTGAAAAAGGGGACCAAACCAGAGGAAACCCTCAAGAGCTTCTCCATCTCCTCGCCTAGAGATGAGGGGACTCTCGACGTTAATATTCTGCTGAGTGTCCTACGAGAGAGAACGAGAGGCAAACTCAACACAAAGAACAGGCCTGAAATTCCACCTAGTCTTACCCGCCGGACTGTTTTATGTTTGACAGTAAGGCAAAAATTGTTTTTTTCAAAAAAAAATGAATTCCCAGTTTCAGTCTCTCTCTCTCTCGGCCCAACTCTCTGTGCTGTGTCAGGATCCGCTGGGATGATCCTGCAGATGGGCAAGTACTCTGGAATGCCTCCTGCCTCAAGTGGGTCTTAAAGGGTTAAACCGACCCGCTTTCCCACCTGCCTGTTTGGGTGAATTCCCTCCAAAAATTCCCCCCCAGCGCACTGAAATAATTTTCAAGCGAGGTATTTTGGGCAATGTGGAAAGCAGCTGATGAGAATTTAGTTTAATTTGGATTTGCTAATTGAATTACGGTCCTTTTTTAATGGTTTCTTAGGCTGAGAATAGAACAGAAAATGATGCTTAAAAGCCTTCCAAAGGGATAGAGCGAGGCCTGCGGTGTGGAAAGGCCAGTCCGCAGGTAAATAAACCACCGTGTTCTTGGATACAAGTGGCAATCTCCGCATGTGATTAAACGGTCTCTTCTGCCCCCAAAAACGTCTCCTCTCAGATTGCAAGGCCCACGTTTGTCTAACGGTAGCTCATGTCTCGTTCCTCTGGTGTTGGGGAGGATCCAAAACAGGGGGCATCTTCTTCAAATTAGAAGCAGGCTGTTTAGGAGCGAAATCAGGAGACAGTTTTTCAAACACACACAAAGGGTAGTTAGTGGGAATCTCTCTCTCCCTCCCCCAAAAGGCTGTGGATTATGGCAGTGGATCCATTTGGACTGTCGGGACTGAGGTGGATAAATTTCTGTAAGGTCAGAGCATCGAGGGATTTGGGGCAACACATCCAGCCATGGTGAGAGGGGGACGAGACCCAGCGCAGAGGGGAACAGCCAAGGAACCATTCCCAGTGCTAAGAGACACACAGGAACAAGTGGAGGCCATTTCAGCCACTGTAGGTAATTGGAGTTGAAATACAGATCAGCCGAGATCTTACAGAATGGTGGAACAGGCTCGGGGGGGCTGAATGGCCTCCTCTTGGCCCAGTGTTGGTCTGCTGGGGATGCTTGCCTGGTTGCTCTCCTCTGTGCTCGCCCCCCCCCTTCTGAGACCGGATCTGTTGGAAAATTATTATCTGTAAATGTGGGACATCTGGTGATTGTCTGACTGTGATAAACCCCTCTCCAGCGATCAGCTCCAACATATGGGGTCGACACATCACATTAACATACAGCCACAGCCCCCCACCCACCCACCCACCCACCCACACAGACAGACAGACACCTACCTGCTGTTACAAGCTGCCTGTATTAAGATGGTTTCAGCCATAGAAGCAAGAGAGGAGTGGAGGGGAGAGAGCAAGGTTGAGGTGATGAGAGAGAGGGAGGAGGGGGAAAGAGAGGGAGAGAGGGAGGAGGATGAAGGGAGGGAGGAGGAGGGAGGGAGGAGAGAGAAAGCGAGGCTGTGTGGCTGTGTGGGTGGATAGAGACATTCTGCAGATACCATTCTGGGTACCAATCGCGACGTGTGTTCCTCACAGTCACACAAACCCCCTGATCCACATCTGCTTAAAGGGAGAGGAGGAGGGGGTTCAATAAACCTCTCCCCCCCCCCCCCCCCCACACACACACACACATAAAATACTCATAGAGTATTTTAATCGCCAAGAACAGAACCTAATGGGTTTTGCATCCAATGTATTATGAATAAATCAGGGAAGAAATGCTGGTTTATTCTCCTGCACAAGTGAGTAGCAAAATCAGACATGGAAATATATTTCTCTCTGTATCCCCCCCCCCCCACCCCATAATATTGTTCATCCTCCCCCCCACCCCATGGTTAATAACTTTTCCCATTGTGCATTAATCTCTACATTGTGTAGTTATTTTACCAGAACGTCATTTTTCACTAAGAGATTTATTTCCCCTCTCCCCCACAAATACAATCCAGATTTTATTGGGGGGGGGGGAGAGAAAATGATGTTTCCACATTTTCCAAGCAGTCTCTAAGCTTCCAATAATAACCCTGTATTCCCACAAAGCAAAGCATCGTTTTATAATCCTGTCTTTTCTCTCTCTCTTTCTTTCTCTCTCCCTCTCTGTCTGTCTGTCTCTCTCTCTCACACACACCCACACACACACACAAACGCCAGAGAATTACCCTGAAACCTTCTCCTCCTGTCAGCGAAGTGGACCATGAGCTTGGAGTCTCCAACATGGAAATACACGACTGACAACACAACGGTGAGTGAGTGAGAGAGAGAGTGTGTTGCTGTCCACACACCCAACTCTAACAATGTGGATTCTATTCTGTGATCTCCTGTCTCATCAATGTTGCTGTAACTCAGAAGCGATGCTGTGTGGGATGGGGTTGGGATGAGAGGCAGAGCTCTGTGTTCAGGTGTGGAGTAAGGGATGGGCTGTGGGATGGAGTAAGGGATGGGCTGTGGGATGGGGTAAGGGATGGGCTGTGGGATGGGGTAAGGGATGGGCTGTGGGATGGGGTAAGGGATGGGCTGTGGGATGGGGTAAGGGATGGGCTGTGGGATGGGGTAAGGGATGGGGTAAGGGATGGGGTAAGGGATGGGGTAAGGGATGGGATGTGGGATGGGTTAAGGGATGGGCTGTGGGATGGGGTAAGGGATGGGATGTGGGATGGGGTAAGGGATGGGATGTGGGATGGGGTAAGGGATGGGATGGGGTAAGGGATGGGATGTGGGATGGGGTAAGGGATGGGATGTGGGATGGGGTAAGGGATGGAGTGAGGGTCTCAATGTAATAGACAATCAACAGCTGTGAAACGAACTGACACACACTGACAGTCTCTGCTCCTTACACTGTCTCATTCCACTCACTGTTATTTAAACGGTGGAGATTGATATTTATTTATATATATATTTCTATATTATTATATAATATATATATTAGTGGTTAATTAATGTCTCTATCTCTCGCTCTCCCTTTTAGTATTTTTTTGCTTGATCCAAGTTATTCAAATCTTATTTCACACTATTTTTTTTCCTGCATCCTTTTGTGTGACAAATGCTTTTCTTTCTCTCCCTCACAAAGGGAGAGAGATGAGTTGGTTTATATAATATATAAGGCCCCAAATACTATTCTGTGTTTCTCAGTGGAATGAGGGGATTGTGTGTATTTATTGTAATAATAATCCTTGTATTTGATATATATATGTGTATATATGCAAGATTTATATTTCAGATAAATAACCTTCTAAAATCTTTTTTGTGATGGGGTGGGGTGAGACTGATTTATCTTGCTCAATGTTTGTGTGTCTCTAGGTGTGTATACACGTGTGTGTCTAGGTGTGTATCTGTCAATTTGGGGCCTTAATAAATATATTATGCCTGGTTTTTCAATCCAGGATTCAACGCCTTATTTTAGGCTTGTGTGTTTTTTGTGGGGAAACAATCTGTCCCTTTTAAAAAGAAATGCATATAATATACAAATATATATATGTGTGTGCATAAAATTATTTTAAAAGCTCATTACTCCATGTTGCTTCAAAGATGCGAAAACGCTTTGATTCTGTGGTGCAATAATGTCTGTCTCTTCTCTGCTTTTCCTTCCACACAATGGCCATCTGTGTGTCACTGCTTCAGTGAGAGAGAGAGAGAGAGCCAGACACCTGTGGCGGTGGAAACTGCCTCTTGTTGCCTTGGTGAATGCTGATTCCTCGGGGAATGGACACGTGCAGACAGATGTTGAATTCCAGCCAACCTTAAATGATATTCCCCTCTGCGCCCCCTCCCCACAACTCACTCACCCACCCACTCATTCAACGTGGCCATTCAAAACCAACCGTCCTGTCATATGGCTCTTAACTAATGGTTATAATACAGTAATAATGTTTGCATTTGACATAGAACCTTATCAAGTCGTCGAGACGTCTCAAAGCGCTTCACAGAATACACTGCAACGTGAATTGACTCTCTATATTTTGTGGGCAAATCGTAGCAGCCAATTATGCACAACAGCGTCCGACAAACAGTCGTGGATTGAGTGACCAAAGATTGTGGGTGTGTATATGTGTGTAAGTGTGTCTGAAGCCTACAAGCAAGTTATTAAAGGTTGCCTCAGTTATTAAAGGCTGTTAAATCTGTATTGTCAGATGGGGAGTAATCCAATCATCTACCGGAAAGCTGAATTTACTGTCACATGCAAATAAACTGGAATGATTGGGGCTGATTTGAGCTCGCTGTCTAGGCTGACACTCCAGTGCAGTGCTGGGGTGTGTGTCTGTGTGAGGGGGGGGGTGCTGTGTGTGTGGTGGGGGGGGGGGGGGGGCGGTGAGCACTGCATTGTCAGGAATGTTAAACTGAGCTCCGGTCTGCACCTTGTACAGCGCCCTTCACGTCTGTAATATCTTCCCGAAGGTGCTGTTGTTGTTCAGGTGGATGTTAAGGTTCCCGCAGCGCTGCGTGAAAAGACAAGGGAGTTTCCCCCTCTCTGTCCCCGGCCTTTCCCGGCCGACAATTATCAACAACTCTCTAACAACAACTTACATTTACGCAGCGGCCGTCAAAGCAGGGCAACGTCCCAGAGCGAAGGTCTTCAGGTGCGAGCTGAAGATGGGGAAGGAGGGAAGGATAGAAGAAGAAGAGTGTTCCAAGGTGACAGGTTTCCCTCCTTTTGTAATACGCTGTTCCCTGGCTTTGTCACAGGCTGTCCCTAAAGAGCTCGCTGTCGAGGATGGTTATGTGCTGCTCCTCGTCCTGGTGTCTGTCTTCATCGGTGGCACGTTAGTCCTTCTCTCCGGCATCCTCATCCTCTGCCGACGATGTTGTGAGACCAACCGCAGATACTCCAGGTACTGCACTCGCTCACTCTCCTCTTGTGACTCCTCTTCCTACACACGTGGAGGCCTGCAGCTCAGTGGTTAGAGCGCTCGCCTCGCAAGCGAGCGGACCCGGCCTCGATTCCCGGGTACGGCGAAACGTTTGGCAAGTTTCCATACTCCACACACATCTGTTTACCAGCAGTAAGTAGGAACCCGGTTCTTAGCCGATTGGCGGATCATTTTCCTGGGGTAATAAGAATAATAATTTGGTCACTCAAATCTCGACTGTTTATGGGACACTGCTGTGTGCAATTGGCAGCCGTGTTTCGCTCAAAATATACAGTCACTACGCTTTACAGTATATTTCCATGGTTCTAAGGTTCAACTCCGAGATAAGAGGGAGAAAAACAGGGAGGGAGCACAGAAGGGGGAGAGGGCATGGGTACTCATGTACCCACCCGGGGGGAGGATTTGATACATGGTCATATCATTTACAGACTCCCCCCCCCACCCCCCGCCTCGGCTTTGGAAAGAAATCGTCTCCGTTTCATTCCGCTGAGGGCTCGGGTGGAAGGCGATGTTACATGGATTAATGGTTCACAGGCTCCATTAGCAGAGCATTAGGGGTGGTAGTCAACAAAATCCATATAATCTATGGAGTAACTGACTCGGCTGAGATCCATGGAAAGTTTTGTGGCCTGAAATAATTTGGTTTAATTAATCCTTAATTGTTTGTTTTTCCAGGGCAACCGATGACCCAGAGAAAACCAACACTACATACCTGGAGGAGACTCAACCCCAACATGGTAATTCAGCTGCCTTTGATTTAACCTCACGCCTTGTCGCACTAAATATTATTCTACTGGAGACCTGTAGCCTCAGTGGCAAGCGAGAGGACCCGGATTTGACTCCCGAGTCAGGGCGAAACATTGTGCACGTTCCCCTACTCCACACCAGGTCTCTGTTTACCAGCAGTAAGTAGGAACCTGGTTGTTGGCGGATCACTGCGTGTGTGCAAATCAGCTACTGCTTTCATCTACAAAATACTCACAGTCACTAGACTTTATCGATGTGATAATGTAGAACAAGAGGACAAGGGTTTAGAATTGCAAAGAAGCCAATTTCAGGGCAGACACCAGGAAGTGTTTTTTTTTTTACCGAGGGTAAGGAATGACTGGGACAATTCCCTTATGTTGGGGCTCGAACCCGTGATCTTCTGACCCTCAGGTGAGAGCGAGTGCTACTGACTGAGCCGGGCTGTCACGTGCCTATACATAAAACACACAGGGGAGAAACATCATCACCAAGGAAGCAGTGAGATAGCACAGTGAGAAGTTAGAAACAACATTCGTAACCAAATAAACTCCAATATAATAACCATTTTTGTTTATTTGATCAAATGCCGTGATTGGGAACAATTAGAGAGACACTAATGGATACCCTGCAGTGATTACATGTCTGGAACTTAATCGCAGGCATGAGATGATGTTGTAAATCATCAACCTGAGGTTTAGGTAGTTTATAATTCTTGCCCGATCCTACAAAGGGAGGTTGTGACCTTGATTTCGCTCCAACATACAACGTTCCCCCGCCCTGCCCACCCCACCATTGACACCGCCCCACCATTTCATTGCCTTGGGACGTCCTTCCGACGTGAAAGGCGCTCTATACATGTAATTTTGTTGGTTCTTGAGGTTGTTGTTGACAGTCAGGTTTTCAGCCTCGCTGCCACCAGCCTTTGGAACTCTATCACACAGTCCCTCCAGCTATTCCCTTTCTCGCCTCCTTCAAGACCTGTCTCAGGAGCCTTCACTTCAACTGCACCTTCGATCATCCTCCAAGCTCTACCCTCTTTGCCCTCCACCCCTCCTGATCCCATCCCCCAGCTCTGGCGGCAAATCCCTGTGTGTCCAGTGCCTTGGGACGTCCTCCCAACGTGAAAACCCATGTAAATATCACGTGTTGTCGTTGTTCGGTAGGATTGGGATCGAACCACCTTGGACACGGCGTGGGTTTCAGTCTGGTTTTTGCCGGGTGATGATTAGACAAGCTGGGAGGGCTCGTCAGTGTTTGAGCAGATTTGATATTAAACGCATCAATAACAGTGCTGTTTGCTGGCACGAGGTGGTAGGGGAAACATGGAGTTAAACCATAGGAACACAGGAATAGGAGGAGGCCATTCATCCCCTCAAACCTTTCTTCCATTCTATCAGATCAAATCTGATTTAAATTCCAATTTGCTTGCTGTGTGCGAGCTGTTTGGTTGGCGCGGGGGTTAGTAAACCCGAGGGGAGGTGAATGCGTTCAGTATTGGTTCCATGGCCCCCAGCCCAGCCTTTGCTATATTACAGGGGGTAAGCACACGGTTATGTAACCAGTGACGCAGTGAGACAACAAACACCAACAGGAAGCGATTAATAAACCCCCAATTACCACCCGCACAGCCCCCAGCACTAACTATTAGCCGAGATACTGATTTGTTCCACTCTTAACTCACGAGTAGAATTCCCATCCTCCCCAGTAAATGTAAATTGTTGTTGTTAGAATAATCGTTGCATTTGATACAGCGCCTTATCACATTGTTGAGAGGTGTCAAAGCGCTTCACAGAGTATACTGAAAATTGTAGTGACTGTGTATTTTGTGGGTGAAATGCGGCAACCAATCGCACACAGCAGCGCCCCACAAACAAACAGTCCTGGATTGAATGACCAGATTTTTTTTGAAGGGATTATTATCCCAGGAAAAGCGATCGGCCAATCGACTGACCAAGTTCCTACTTACTGCTCGGGTAACAGAGGCGTGTGTGTGTGTGTGGAGTAAGGAAACTTGCCTAAGGTTTTGCCCCTTGTTGTTGAATTGCCAAGATAAAAAGGGCCCACCGGCTAAGACCGGGTGGAATTCGAAGTTCCAGGTGAAGGCAGTCTTGTGGGGAGTGGCAGAGGGATGGGGGAGATTCCGCACGATCTTATGGCTAAGACCAGGGGAATGACGGGGTGTGGAGTGGGGCTGTCTCTCTGGCTATTATCCTCACGGGCTGTGGCTGTGGTTACAGAGATCACCATTAAGATTGATGACACCGAGTGTCTGTCCACGGGCAGCTGTGCCGACACCGACACCGACACCCAGCGCTTCCTCTCCACCTCCTCCACTGGCCGCAGGGTTTCCTTCAATGAGGCCTCGCTGTTCGACCACGGCAAGAAACCACAGGAGAAAGGACGCAGGTAACACGGCAGCTTCACAGCATTTACCCCCCCCCACCATCGCTCCCCCCCCCCCCGCCCGCCCCGGTACCAGACATGTGCTGACTGGCTCTCTGTGTGTTTGTGTGTGTCTGTACATGTCTTGTGCTCGCGTGTCCGTGTATCTGTGTGTGTATTTGTCAGCCTATCTCTCTCACCCACACACACACACACCATGTGTCTACATTTCAGCTCGGAGCCCACACGGATAACCGAGCGTGTGGATAGGTGGTTAGTGAGGGAGGGGGTGTGAAGCTGCCGGGAGCTGTACAGTTGATTGTGCTGACATCAGATATGACAACACACCTGGGGCGACAGGTGTTCCCTTTAAATAGTGTGTGATCGCTCTCTGTCTCCTCTGTTTCTCTGTGTATGTCTCCCTCCGTCCCTCTCTCTTCACCCCCCCACCTCCCACCTCCCCGGGGGAGCAGGTACACGCTGACCGAGGGGGATTTTCACCACCTGAAGAACGCCCGGCTGACTCACCTCCACGTTCCGACGCCTGCGCTGAAGATCATCACCATCCACGAGTGCGAGTCGGGCTCCGCCATGGTGCCCGGCGCCTCCAAAAGCCACCTGTCCATCTTCCAGGCAAGTCCTCTCCGCGCTCGGTGTCTGTCTGCCTGCCAGGCGGTCAATAATAAATAATAATTTGATCACCCTCACGTATGATTGTGGGGACACTGCTGTGGGTCATTGGCTGCTGCGTTTCAACCACAAAATATACAGTCACTACACTTTACAGTGAATCCCGTGAAACGCTTTGAGACGGTCTCGAAGACGTGATGAGGCGCTGTGTCAAATTGCGAGGATTATTATTGTTGTTGTTGTGATGTTTCTTTGTGTAGCCCAGCATCGCCCCCCTGCCCCAGACTGCACTGACCAGCCACGTGGGCAGCCCGGGCTCCCCTTTACCCGGGGACACTTTCAACTCACCGGCCGACACGGCTTTTATTGACGTGAAAACCTCGGCAGCTACCGACCCCGGAGACAGCGATGTGGTGAGTATCATGGCAACACCGCGGGGGTGGGGGGGTCTCAGCCAGGATCGGTCTCACTCACACTCTCACCCACCCCCCCCACCACGTCAAGGGGGCTTTTCAACTCACAGACCTTGGCCGACGTCCCCCAACCCCTCCGGATAAAAACAGCCGTTCATCTCATGCCCTTTGCAATATGTTGCTGCCTGCAAACTGGCTGCCGCATTCACTTACAAAACACACAGCCACTACGCTTTATAGTACAATTCTGCAAAGCGCATTGAGACATACACCTGAAGCTTTTTTTTCTCTCCGGCTGGGAGGGAGGGACGGAGGAATATCGTCAAGAGTTCACGAATATCAGCAACGGGTCCTGTGTGTTTCTAATTTATGATTGTTTGTCAGATTGAGGTGATGTCCGGGAGTGGTCAAGGGGGAGTCGGGGCGGAGGTTGGGGCTGTTGCCCCCCAGGGCACAGTGCTTCACTTCTTCAGTAAGCTGAGGAGACACGCCAGCCTGGAGAGCGCCAGCCCTTACTTCAGGATCAAGAAATGGAAATTCGAGACTAGCCAGAGAGCACTGAGCCTCGACACCCGAGGTAAGAGCCTCGCTCACCGTGTGCTGACCCCCCTCTCCCCCTCCCCATTGACGCAGCGCCTTTCACATCAGGACATCCCAAGGCGCTGGACAATGAGAGTTTGATCCCAAGAGAGATGGAGGGTGGATCGCTTTCCCGGGGGTAATAATCCACCCCCCAGGATAATAATAATAATTTGGTCACTCAATCCACGAGTTTGTGGGACACTGCTGCCCCCGTTTCCCCCACAAAATTCACAGTCACTACACTTTACAGTATATTCTGTGAAGGGCTTTGAGACGTCTCTATAGACATTGCTATATCAAATGCAAGGTTTATTATTGTTTTATTATAATTATGTTCTATCATAATTATTGTATTATTAGTAGTTTTTGATTATTGTATTATTGTTCTATTATAATTAGTATTATTTTAGCATTCCAGTATTATTGTTCTATTGTAATTATTATCATATTATTGTTCCATTATTTTATTGTTGTGGTCCTCAGGTTCCCCAAAGAGGCATCAGTTCCAGCGGCAGCGAGCTGCCAGTGAGAGCATGGATCAGGAAGACCGTGACCCACATCAGACAGATATTATTCAGTACATCGCCCATACCGATGATGTCTCCTCCGTCACGCCTCCGGCTGCCTTCTCCCAGGCTCCCTCCAGCCCGCCTCCATCTCTTGGCAGGTATCCTTCCATCCTTCCAAATCAAAATCCATAGTAACTAGGGCGAGGGAGGGAGGGAGGGAGGGAGGGAAACTTTAAACAAGCGTTTAAAATGTGAAGTAAAACCGGAACAGAAAAGATATCCTCAAATTCTGCAGCGAGTCAACTGAATCGACGAGGTTTGCATCGCTGTGTGGGTTCATTTCACTGCATCACTTCCCCACAACCTACTGATAACTCAACTCTGGCCGAGCTTGTCACTACCACTTAAGTCATCACATCAAACACCCCGTCCGCATTTACTTTATATTTATACCCGCGCCTAACGCGCCGCTCCTGATAACTCGTCGCTGAGCCCTTTTCCCCTTGGAGTGAGTGATGAGTTATCAGGAGACGGCTGCACACAGTCGCTACACTTTACAGTCGTAAATCCTGTGACACGCCTCGATGTGAAAGATTATTAATAATACGGTTTTGTTGCCAGCTAATAAATTTCCAACTTATAAAGGGTGTAACGGAAGGAGCTCGCTGCCGATCGCAATCTGTGCTTCACACAAGTCGAGGACAAAGACCCATTTTTTTTTCTCTCTCTCTCTCAACTTATTTACATTTTTTACATTCCCATCAATTACAGCTGTTTCAGCGTCTCGAGACGCTGTATAAATGCAAGTTGTTGTTGTTGTTGTTGTTGTTGAAGTTGTTGCTTCATTTGTAAAGTGACCGAAATGGTATTTTCGACCCTGTGAAACCAGTTTCCGAATTAAAACTGTGTTGAAGCTCTTTGGTTCTAAGTATTTCCACCACAGTTTTGTGGGCGAAACGCGGCAGCCAATTGCTGTAAGCTGTGCGCAATTGGCTGCCGCGTTTCACCCACAAAATATACAGTCAATTCACTTAACAGTATGTTCTGCGAAGCGCTTTGAGACGTCTCGAAGACCTGATAAGGCGTGATGTGAAATGCAAGGGTTATTATTCTAATTCGGAGCCCCGTAAAACAAAATGTCTTCGCGTTCATTTTTGGAGCAATGATTAGGATAGTATTTTTCTTTTTTGGGGGCGGTGGGTGGACGTTGTGGATCTGAATGATGTGAGACCATTGACGCTGAAACATCAGGCAGTTTCTGCATCAAATTCATGTGTTAATGCAGAACAGTTAATGTTTCACGGGAGTTTCCATGTGTGTGTGGCACGCATACATGGTTTGGATATTCTTAAGCACTCTGGATGGTGTCAGACACCCGGCTGGTCACGGTGACGGGTTTCTGTGTGTGTCAGACACCCGGCCGGTCACGGTGACGGGTTTCTGTGTGTGTCAGACACCCGGCTGGTCAGAGTGACGGGTTTCTGTGTGTGTCAGACACCCGGCTGGTCACGGTGACGGGTTTCCGTGTGTGTCAGACACCCGGCTGATCACAGTGACGGGTGTCCGTGTGTGTCAGACACCCGGCCGGTCACGGTGATGCGTTTCCGTGTGTATCAGACACCCAGCTGGTCACGGTGACGGGTTTCCGAGTGTGTCAGACACCCGGCTGGTCACGGTGACGGGTTTCCGTGTGTGTCAGACACCCGGCTGATCACAGTGACGGGTGTCCGTGTGTGTCAGACACCCGGCTGGTCACGGTGACGGGTTTCCGTGCGTGTGTCAGACAACCGCCGGTCACGGTGATGCGTTTCCATGTGTGTCAGACACCCGGTTGGTCGCGCTGACGGGTTTCTGTATGTGTCAGACACCCGGCCGGTCACGGTGATGGATATCTGTGTATCCACCCGACATGAAAAGCACTATATAAAAGCAATTTGTTGCTGTTGTATGTCAGACACCCGACTAACCACGCACACAAAAAAACTTTACATTACGAAAAGTCGGAGTGCGTATAAAAGACGTGGTTTGTGTTTTGAGGCACTGATGATCATAATACGCATTGTTTCTGTGGCTCTGACATTGTGACAATCCATTGGTGTGTGTGTGTGTGTGTGTGTGTCAGAACCTGGTCTGTGTTACTCTGTACTTAGTCATTCAGCGATTTGTTGTCAGTTTAAAGCCATTTTGTCAGCGCTGGGTCGTGGCGAACATGCGCCTGGAAGATATTCTGATAAACAAATAAATGACCAACTAGAGGGGCTGCCAACTGCCTCGTTGGAAGTAGAGCTGGCTGGTGCTGAGGACTTTTAAGAAGCTTTTGTCGCCATTTAACGGAACGATTTGATTACAGGGCGGAGACTTACGAGCAAAAAAAAAAAACACAGCCAATTTTCAGCCACGTGAAGCCCCGAGTTGGGTGGTGAACCACAGGGTCGACGAGCAAGTCACAGGGACAAACAAACCCAGGTTTCTTTTTGTTACAGGAGGCAGCAACGCAAGCACATAGGGACAGGAGAAGGCCATTCAGCCCATCAAGCCTGCTCGGCTGTCTTTATTAGCTCACCGCAGATCCTTTAGCCCCCCCGGCTGCCTTTCCTCCACATTCACCCACTCCCTCCCCCCAAAGCCTCTCTCTGTCCTCTCCTATAAGCGTTCCGTTCGGTGATATGTGTATGTGTGTGTGGAGGGGGAGTTGAGGGGGGAGGTTAGGACTGGGGGGTAGTTTGAGGGGGATGGTTGAAGTGGGGTAGTTTGGGGGCAGCGAACGAGGCTTGAGGGGGTAGAGAGAGGATAGTGGGGGGATTGTGTTGAGAAGATAATGCAGATGGGGGGGTAGGTTGAGGGATAGTTGAGTTGAAGGGTTAGTGGGTGTTGGGAGGGAATGGAGTGGGAGAGCTGAATGGGTGTTGGGGGTAGAGAGGGGTATCAGGTTAATGGGGGTTGAGGGGAGGTTGAGTTGAATGGCTCGAGGGTGGGTAGAGAGGGGTTGTATTAGGGGGTAGTTTTGGTGTGATAGTGAAGGGGATGGAGAAGTGACTGGGTTGGTTTGGGGGTCATGGGGGGGGATAGAGGGGGTCATGGGGGGATAGAGGGGTCATGGGGGGGATAGAGGGGGTCATGTGGGATTGGGGGTGTTGGGGGGAGATGAGGGATTTAAGGGGTAATGGGGGGAATTGAGGGGGGTAATGGGGGGGATTGGGGGTGTGAGGGGGTAATGGGGGGATTGGGGGTGTGAGGGGGTAATGGGGGGATTGGGGGTGTGAGGGGGTAATGGGGGGGATTGGGGGTAATGGGGGGATTGGGGGTGTGAGGCGGTAATGGGGGGGTGTGAGGGGGTAATGGGGGGTGTGTGAGGGGGTAATGGGGGGATTGGAGGGTGTGAGGGGGGATTGGGGGGTGTGAGGGGGATTGGGGGGGTGTGAGGGGTAATGGGGGGATTGGGGGGTGTGAGGGGGTAATGGGGTGTGTGTGAGGGGGTAATGGGGGTGTGTGAGGGGGTAATGGGGGGATTGGGGGGGTGAGGGGGGATTGGGGTGTGAGGGGGTAATGGGGGATTGGGGGGGTGTGAGGGGGGATTGGGGGTGTGTGAGGGGTAATGGGGGGTGTGGGGGATTGGGGGGTGTGAGGGGGATTGGGGGGTGTGAGGGGGGATTGGGGGGTGTGAGGGGGGTAATGGGGTGTGGGGGGGATTGGGGGGTGTGAGGGGTAATGGGGGGATTGGGGGGGTGTGAGGGGGGATTGGGGGTGTGTGAGGGGGTAATGGGGGTGTGGGGGGGATTGGGGGGTGTGAGGGGGTAATGGGGGGTGTCGCTGCCCGGCCCTGAGCTGACGCTCCCCCCCCTGACTCTCTTGCAGGTTAGAGGAGGAGGAGGAGGCGGCGGCGGCCGCGGGCCCGGGGGGGGGCGGCGGCGGCGGCCCAGCGGCGACCAGCAGCAGAGCTACCGGGACATCTGGAGCCTCCGGGCCTCGCTCGAGCTGTACATCGCGGCCGACAGCAACGGCGGCGGCGACAGCAGCAGCAGCGCGGGCTCGGGGGCCTCGGGGGCCTCGGGGCCCGGTCCGCCTCCGGGCCCGGAGGAGAGCGGCGGCGGCGGCGGGACCGGGCGGGGCAGCGGCGAGGCGGAGCCGGGCAGCAGGAAGCTCCTGCAGATGGACAGCGGCTACGCGTCGATCGAGGCGCCGAGCCGACTGCCGGAGGAGCGGGGAGGAGGAGGAGGAGGGGCCCCGGCGGCCGGGCCCGAGCCCGAGGCCGCTGACGACGACGACGAGGCCTACGGGGAGGCCGAGGGCCCGACGGCCTCGGAGAAGCGCCGCTCCTTCACCAGCTCCGGCCGCAAGGGCACCGTCTGCGAGACGTTCGAGGCGCGGCTGGTGAGCGAGGGGCGGGCGGGCGGCGCGCAGCCGGAGAGCGAGGCCGAGGCGCTGCCCGGGGCCTGGTCGCTGTACGGGCAGATGTTCGGGGGGGCGGTGGGGGGCGGCGGGGACTTCACTCACCGCCGCGACTACAGCATCGACGAGAAGACGGACGCGCTGTTCCACCAGTTCGTGCGCCACGACCCGCGCTTCGCCGACTCGCCGCTCAGGCCCAAGCACCGCTCTCGCGTACACCTGCGCAAGCAGTGGCAGAGGAGCCGGCAGCTCAGCTACCCGCCCGCCCCCGGGGCCGGGGCCGGGGCCGCCACCAGCGCCGCCGCCGCCGCCGAGCGACACCGCGCCCCGCTCCGCCGCGGGGACAGCGTCGGCTGCTGCCCGGCCCGGGACCAGGCCTCGGTGGAAGCCTCGGGCTCGCCCGAGGCCCTGCCCGGCCCGGAGCGCCTCGTCCCCGGGGAGGAGGGGATCCACCGGATCGAGGAGGAGGAGGTGGCGGTGGTGGCGGCGGTCGAGGCCGAGGCCGAGGCCGAGCCCCCCGGCTGCCCGGCCCTGAGCAAGCTGGCGGCCGGGGTGGGGGAGAGGCTGTACCCCGGCCTGAGGCGCGCTCAGGCGGCTCCGGCTCACACCGTGACCGCGGCCACCCGCTGCTCCCCGGACCACAGCCCCGTCTAGGCCCCCCCGCCCGGGGGGGAGAGGGGGGACTGTGGGGGGGAGAGGGCTGTGGGGGGGAGAGGGCTGTGTGGGGGGTAATAATACTGTAAAACTCGCATAAGTCTGATGTGCATAAATCGTATGGGTCGCCCAACTGGCGGCCCGCGGGCCGCACCCGGCCCAGGGATTTATTTCATCCGATTTTCTCCCCGTAACCCGTAACCGGTGCCACCCGCACAAGCAGAATGCACTTCGGGTCAATACTTCATCAAAGGACAGCGCCTCTGACGATGTAACCTCCTCTCCCCCCCCCCCCCCCAGCGCTGTATTGGAGCATCAGGTTAGTTGGAGTGAGACCCAAGTCCGGATGTGGGGGCTTGAACCCACACCCTTCCGACTCCGAGGGGGGAGCGTTAGTCACCCCCGAGCCAGGCCGACAGGACGATACAATTAGGAAGATGGTCCGTGAAGCTTTTCACTCGACTGTCCCTTTGCTCCTCATCTTTTCCCCCCACCACCACTACCCCCCCCCCCCCTCCGCCTTCCTCCTTCATCCGTTTTAGACTGGTTTCTTTCTAGAAAGAAAAAAATAAGATTTTTTAATAACAAAATAAAATTTAACGATTTAAAAAAAAACACTCGATTAAAATCAAAAAGTTCGGTCGCCAGGGGCGACAGCTTTCTTTTTTGAACTAGAATTGTCGGGTTTGCTATTTATGTAAAAAAAAAGCAATGTGATTTATATATATATATATATTATATAATGTGGTTTAATATTTAACAGCAAACAAAGTAAGAGCCCCCCCTCTCCCCCACACTAATTGGCTTGATGTTCAGAAGGTTGGCTGTGGTCTTGCACGTTTACCATCTTTCTGTTTCCGAAAGAAAGAATATTTATTTAACAAAATCATTTCCTTTACGGTTTCACGGCGATGCTGTGGACGGTAACTTTTTTTTAAAAAAAAAGCTGCTGAGTTTTTATTTCAATACATATAATTATATCGTGTATATATATTGTTTAGATATATATATATATAATGATGATTTTCTCTCTTTAGACATTGGCTCCACGTCGTTTGCGGTTGTTTAAGTATTGGTAGTTTTTTTTTCCTGTGGCCTGTTTTTTGGGGGTGAATTAGAATGCCAAGTTTTAAGACTTTTTTTTTTAAAAAAAACACTGCACAATTATTAATTTGTTAAAAGGTAAAGTCTCTACCCTGGTTTGATAAATTATGAGGACAATGATGTTATATTGTATATAGTGCTGAGCGCAATAAATCTACTTTTTTTTTTCTTTCCGCTTTTCCTTGCAAAATTCTTTATAAAATACCTCGAGTTGACCGTCGAACAGTTTTGCAGGATTCTTGTACTATCTTCCATTCAAAGACAATTTACTGGTGCGGGGACCCTCCTCTCTTGGGCCTCCGATCCTTGAGGATTGCAGCGTTTTATAATAAATACTTCCTCCAATTAACAGCCCCAATGCCGTCTCAAAACTCTTCGCAATATTCCTGTGGAGCATTGAACAGCAAACGCGGCGGCCGCTTTGCAGTGCAATAAAACACATTTAGAATATTCATTAATAATCCTTGCATTTGATACAGCACTTCATCGGGTCTTTGAGCCGTCTCCCAAGCGCTTTACAGAATATACTGTAAAGTGTAGTGACTGTATTTTGTGGACGATAATAATAATCCACACACGTCTGATAGAGCACCGGAGAAGAATTTTATTTTCTGCCCCTGCTGCCTCCGAGTCAGAGCCCAACCACAGACGAGAGAGAGAGCGAGAGGCTGGACACAACATGGCTCGAGATGAGTCAAGAGGAATTTGCTGAACGATTGCGGTGACTGGAGGGGAATCATTGCTTTTCATTACCACAGCGCAGCGTGACTCAACAGCTGCCAATTCCATAAACTGGCCAAACGATCGTTTGACGGGCTGGTAACAGGAAAGGAAAGCTTTGGTTGGTCCTGATCAGGTCGGCTTAAAACTGAGCGACTGGTGAGTGAATGGGAGATGGCTGTAGGTTTCATTCGCTCTGCTGAGGGAAAGCCTCCCCCCAAAGTTCCATCTGTACGAAGAGGGGAAGGATATTTCTTTGGAAATATACAGGATTAATGGAGCCATAGGAGGAACGCTGTATAGACACACTCCTTCCTTCGGATGAGATGTTGACCCGAGATTCCGTCTGCCTGTTCAGCTGGATTTTAAAGATCCTGAAACGCAATTGGAAAATGGGAGTTTCTCTCTCTCGTGGTGCCCTGGCTGACAATTCCCCAGATTAATCAGTCATTCACTTCACGGCAGTTTGCGGGAATTTGCTGTTTACAAATCGGCCGCCGAGTTTGCCCACTGCACTTCACCCTAATGCCTGTGAAGCTCTGTGAGATGCAAGGATTATTAATTATTATTATTAACAAAATGATTAATAAAGAAATCAGAAGGTCAAAGAACTCCAGTCAAGTCTCGCTGAGATAATAATACTGGCAGCTACTTTAGTACAACAAATAATGCTTTGGTTCCACTACAGTGTTTCGATAATTCACAAAAAAACAGCCCATTCTGTAAAAAGGTACAGTGGCTTTGTCAGGAAATAACATGGGGAAAAACAGTAGCTGCAAAGATGTATATAAGTTGCATTGATAACACCAGTGTGCAACAGCCAACCATGGTAAGAGAGCGAGAGAGAGAGACAGACAAACACATATACAGATCGGTCTTGTATTACCAACACAGAAATTAAATGCATTCATGGTTCCACTACAGCATCTTTTAAGAATGTACATTTATAACCCAGTGGTGTGGAGTAAAGTCCCACTTGGGACGGGATGTAAGGGTGTGTTGAGGGGAAGGGGTTGAACTTGCCAAAACTCAACAGTTGGTGTGGTCTGGGGATATTAAAACGTGTTCGTCTCTTAAATGTAAAAATAAAACAAATGGGCTTTTGGCATAGAATGCTGAGGTGGGGTCGGTGGCCGTGAATTGGAAGCTGGGCAATAACTTGGAGAAGAAACACAGCAGAGATGGAGGAAGGGAGAAGCCAGTATGTAGTGCAACAGATGTAAAGATAACCCCAGGCCGGTTTTGAAGAGTGTAGAAACAGTGACGTGACCACGGGGGAGAGGGAAAAACTTAGGGTTTACCCGCCCCCACCCAAAACTAATACTTTAAAGACCTTCAATAGGTATTTGTGCTTTGCCCTCTCTCTCTTCCCCACCACCCCTCCAAAAAAAAAAGTCCTGTTTAATTTCAAACAGCAAACATAACCCTCGGTCAACCTCCCTCCTCACTTGGAGTTGAGGTACAGATCAGCAGAACAGACTCGAGGGGTTGAATGGTGTCATGTTTCTACAGGCAGCACGCAGATTTCATTTCGCAAAGATGTCTTTTCTCTCTCTCTTTTCTCCTTAAAATAAAATTAAAAAAAACACAGCCATGGGAGCAATACAGATTAAAACACACACACATACACACGAGGCATTTAACCCATCCTCTTTCAGTAAATATTAACCTTCCCTTTTTCCAAGCCCTTTCTTTGACGGCATGCATTTACACATCACAAGTGTGTTCTACGTACGGACTGCAGGTATGAACAGAAAAACAAAAAGTAGTCTTATAACATAAAGTGCATCTAAATGGCTTTGCACAAAGTTCTAAAATGTCGTCCGTCCGTGGGTTATACTTTCTGGATAATATAACTCCGGTTGGTTTTGCGGTTTTGGGGTGGATTCTCAGCTTCCCGCACGGAGGCTACAGAGCGTTTCCGTGGAAGGCTGCGGTAGTTTCTGGGGTGATTTGTTGGCTACTTTAGGATTCCTCAGGCCGGCCAGGCCTCGCCTCCGGTGCTAGTTCAAGCAGGAGCAAAGGCAGCAGCAACGCAACAAACCTCCAACATCCGTAATGGCTGTGTGAGAGAGAGAGAGAGAGGCATCAACTGGACAGGCCGCAGACAATGATACTGATGGCATTTGATGCAACTTCAAATCAGACGTTATCATAGAATCCCAAATAGTTCCTCTACTCCACTCTTACCCCAGACTCCGCACATTTTTTCTTTTTAAGTAGCTATCCACCACCACCAACAACACGCATATACATAGCGCCCTTCACGGGGGGTAGTTTCTCGGATCTCTATCCAATTCCATTTTTAAACTTATTATTAAATCTGATCCGACCACCCTTTTAGGCAAACCGTGTTTAATATCAAACTTTAAACGGTGTTTGTTTCCTCTCTCTGCCCTGTTAGGTAAGTGACAGCTTGGTGAATGCAGATAGGGGTGGGTGGGTGAGGAGAGCAAATAAGCTGAATGGTCTCCATCTGAACCGCTCTTGATATGATGAGGTCCTGATATAAAGAACATAGCAGTAGGCTTTGTGAAGGGGTAGGGGAAGATTACTACAGAGGCATCTATTCACTCCTCATTGCCTTCGGCCACAATCCACGCTCCCGGCACCCACCCCCACATTCGATGTTCGACCCTGTTCCCGGGATCCGTTACTGTGAAGCGCTCTGAGACGCCGTCCGGCGTGGAGGGCGCTATGTAAATCCAAGTTGTTGTTGTACAGAGCTTTGAGCCATTCCCTTATGTGGCAGGCGCTGTATAAATGCAAATCGTAAAGAAAAAACACCCACACGATTCCTCTCTCTCTTCCCCCACACAACCCCTCAAGACAAGCAGAAAACCTAACTGAAATATTTATCATTCATTCTTCCAAAGAAATACGCTTTAACCTTGCAAATTCCAGCCTGTTAGATGACTCACTGCTAATGAATTAAATATTTCATCTGCAAACCATATCTGTGTTCTTGACATTCTAAGAGAGTGGAACACAACACACCCGTTCAATCCTAATAAATATCCCGCTTATAAAGTGAAGGTGGAGAAAGAGACTGAGTCATGGAGTTTGATATTAAAAGATTGCTGAAGGAACATTGTGTGCAGTGACTCACTCACACTGTGGCATTGCAGTGACATAGACAGTGCCCCAGAGAAGCTCAAAGCAGGATTATAACTCCATCTCCCCAGCCCCCCCACAATCCCCGCCCCAGACGCTCACTCTCTGACCATCTCAAGGTCAGTGAAGCCACAGACAGCTCTGTTAATAGCCACAGCAACACAGCAGCCAGCTCCAACTACACACTTGTCAGGACTTGGCTCCGCTACGCAATAAAAATAATAAAATCCACGACTCTTTGTGGGACGCTGCTGTGAGCAATTGGCTGCCGCATTTCACCCACAAAATATGTTGTCAATTCACATTACAGTATATTCTGTGAAGCGCTTTGAGACATCTCGAAGACGTGATAAGGCACTATATATTATAACATATCAAATGCAAGGGTTATTATTATTATTAATTTGAAAACAGGGCACCCATCAGCTCATTGCACAAAAATACTGCATTTTGTATACTTTAGTCTTTAAACTTAGAGAAATAAATACTAATATAAATTTAAACTATCAGTATTTACCGTTAGAAGGTTTGAAAAGATGCAAGCAAGTCTCATCTCAATGTGAGGATAAAACGTCTTGATGATGCGAAGAGGCGCTATATCAAATGCAAGGGTTATTGTTTGATTTTTATTAATAATAATGTCACATTAAACACTCGATGTACTCTGGCGAACATTGTCTTACACACCCATGTGTGAAAACAGCGTGAGCGAATTAAGGACATGATCTACGACTGCAGGTCAAAGCAGTTAATATTCCAGCCTATTGGAAAGGGATTCACATTTCATTTTGTGCCATGAAATTGTCCCATCAATTCTTCCATTCCAGTTCCAGATTTAAACTGGGGTTAATTCCAGTGTCACACTAAATGAACTCACAGGGCAATGGATTAATAATAATACGGGCATTTGTTTTTTTTAAATATATAAAATATATAACCAGAGTAAAATTATATTAGCAACCAGTCTCCAAGATATATCTACAAGTCGGCAACTTCAAATCGTGCTCTGTACAGCGAGGGCGAGCTGCGAGATTTTCTCTCTCCAAACATTTTTCTTAGTCCATTTGAGACAATAGGAAATACGTCACTGATCAACTGTCTCTCGCACAATCACACCCATTAACTGGTCTAAAGCAGTGACCAGGTGTCACCGCTTGTTAAATAGAATCGGCTGATCCCAAGGTGTCACTTTTCGCAAAAGAATCACAGCACAAAGACTGGTGCGGGTTTATATAGAACTCGCTGTAAGCGGTAATGCAAAGTTAGATCTGACAAGGCTAGACAATGGTGCGAGGTGGAAGATAGCCATTTTTGTGACTGTAAAAAGACAGAATAATTCACACATTTTATACCTCGGGGAGTTAGGTGTTGGCAACTCATAAATTTAGTTTTTAAGTTCACAGCTAAAATCCCCCCAACCTCTCCCCTGAACACTCGCTACTTAGAGCAGAGAATTTAACATTTGGGCACCAGATAAAATCTAAACCTTTAATCGTATGCCTACAGTCGCATTTAAAAAAAAATTGAAAGTCAGAATATTTGAGGTGCTACAGAATGCCGTTCATTCACACTGGGCTGAGGGAGTTTGTGTAAATCTGAATCTAATGCTGATGTTCTGGATTAGATTTACCATGCAACCCTGCCAGCCACTAATAATAATCCTCGCCTTTGATATAGTGCCTCATCGTGTCTTCGAGACGTCGCAAAGTGGTTCACAGAATATACTGTAGAGTAAATTGACTGAATATCCTTGCATTTGCAAAAAAACACAAAACTCTACATTTCTTCCCAACTGTACATGCACAATTAGACTGTCACCATTAGTGTGCAGGTAAGATGGGAGTCCGGTTACAACAGAATTTACTGGCCGCTGCGGTACATACCATACAGAGTTTACAGGTGTCTCATTGCTGTTTACAGGGTGAGAGTTTCCGAATTTTGCTGCTACTGGTGGAGGCTTTGCGGGATGGATTGGAAGAAGAACTGGATCTCCGCTCAGTTTTAGCCTTGCTGTTAAACTGTCCTGCCTCTGTGCCATTCATGCACATTGCTTTGTGGTGGCCTTTGCTCCTGTTTTGGCCGTTTTGCTCAATCTCCTCTTCAGGCATCTGCACCTGTCCTGTGGAGATAATACATTGGATTTGAGAACTGTGGAGTCCTGTAACTTAGTGTTTAGAGCACTCGCCTCGCAAGCGAGAGGACCTGGGTTCGATTCCCGGGTGGATCAGGGCAAAACCTTAGGCAAGTTTCCTTACTCTACACGCCTCTGTTTACCCAGCAGTAAGTAGGAACCCGGTTATTAGTCGATTGGCAGATCGCTTTGCTGGTGGTAATAAACCCTTCAAAAAGTAAAAAAAACAAATAGTTTGGTCACTCCATCTACGACTGTTTGTGAGACACTGCTGTGTGCAACTGTCTACCACGTTTCACACACAAAATGCACAGTCACTCCACTTTATAGTATATTCTGTGAAGCGTTTTGAGATGTTTCAACGACATAATAAGGCACTATATCAAGCAACAGGTACAGCTAGTAAAGAATACTCACTCCTGTCATATAAAAAACTAGCCATCCGCAAAAAAGTCTTTAAAAAGACAAAACCAAACGCATCTAAGAGTTTACAGCAAAACCTTAGCAAGGTTCTCAATTGCAATAATTTGCAGACACTGCTAACGGAGAGCTATAATTAAATGCAGGATTGCAGGCGTCAACAGGGGGAAGAAAAAATACAATTATTCTAATTCTAATCAATTTCTTCTGCTCAACAACAGATTGATGTGAGCCCACGCCGTGTGTGTGTGTGCTGTCAGGACTCCAAGCTGGTCGTCATGATGACGAGAAACACCAGCAGTTTGTCGGAATGAAAGTATGCGGAAAAATTACAAATGTTTTCATTAAAATAACTGGCTTCACTTTGGTCTTTGTGAGAGCAGCTGACGCCAGCCTTTCTATAATGATTTACTCTGAGCGGGCAGAAAAATCAGCAATCTATGACTCATTCTTTCCACTTTCAATAAAATTGAATATTTGCTTTAGGGAACTGAACTGCAATCCTTAATCTACAGCTGGCTGAATAAAGATCCAATGGAATATTTGACAAGACGCTTTTAGTCATCGGTGCGTTCGATGTCACGGCAATAGTTCCTTGTAAGCTATGCTTGCTTTCTCTCCATTCCCCCGCTCGCCTCCCTCCCTACCTCCCCCGCCCACCTTAAAATGAGCTATTGTTTGAGAGCTTTCACACACTCCACCATTTCACAAACATCAAATAACCAATTTGATGAAAATTGGCGAAAAAGGTATTATTTTAGCTAAAAGCTTCAACTTGAACTTCACATCTAGGAAATAAGTAAATGCACAATCCCTCTTTTCTGGTTAGAGATCTCCAAATTAACCCTTTTCCCCCGAGCGAGGTACTGAACGGAGGTCCCGTTTACCCCATAATTCAACAAGAACAACATGCATTTATATAGCACTCCTCACTCAGGGTAGTGTCCCAGAGCAGGTGGATGCAATACGAAGGGACTCCCTTTACACGATTTCAAAGAAAAATGAGGCCTTTATCTAGGTTGTCCTGATTATTATTATATCAAGTCCAAGGATTATTATATTATTTTTGCTACGCCTACTACTACATCTTAAAAATTCAGCCAACCACCAACAATTGTACGTGCTCTCTAGTAACTAACAGCTCTAGTCTTCACCGCAGCAATACAACACCTAGATGAAGTATTTAATGTCTCATGGCTTTGAACCAGGTGGAATCAGATGAACGAATGAGAAGTGATTGCTACCCAGCTGACGCACTACAGTGCATCTAAACCATATCTAAACAGGCACTTCCAACTTGCTTCCCGAACCTCCACCCCTCCTGAGCCCAGCTCCCAGCTCGGGTTCAAATCCCTGACTGTGGGCGCCATGGCACGATCTCCCAATGTGACCGGCACTGTGTAAATGTCATGTGTTGTTGAATCACGTGCCTTTGGCGCAGTCTGCTTTGCCTAACCCACGTATTGTCCTCTCTCTCTCTCCGCTTTAAACACACAGACGAGCACGGTTAGATTTTACACTGACAACTTAACTGTGCAAACCAGTTAATTGGGTGATTTTTAGAACAGTGGTTTCTAAAGTAGGGCAGTAAAGACACTGTTCTCACACCCAGAGGGGGGTTAGCAAATTCCCGTATGGATCGTATCATAGGCGAACGGTTTGAAAGCAGGCCAGCGAAATTAGTTTAACCTAGTGGGATTTCCTCCTGAAAACCCTACATCAGCAACTAGTCAGAAAACAGCGTGTAATCTTGTATTGTATTTCTGTAGCTCCTGAAATATTCAACGCAGCAAATTCTCGATTCACTTCACAATACATTCTGTGAAGCACTTTGAGACGTCTCAAATGCGGGATAAGGCTCCATATCAAATGCAAGGATTATTATAATTATAATTGTATGGAAGGAGTCATCCCAAGCAGCCGTCAGTGGGTATAAAACTCAAGTGGTTACCTGGTACTGTAAAATCCTGAGTATAAATTATTTCGTCTTCTACATCTTCATTGAACAGATCCTCATCCTCATCATTGTAACCGTGCAAGTCTTCCAGGTAAGGCACCACTGTCATGCTTCTCCACTTGTCCTTGGTCTCTGGGCTTGGAGGGATAGGTACAGGAGTTTCCATCTGGGCATGTTTCTTGCGGAACCAACTACATTCAAGGAAAAAGGGAAAAGCCAGTTCATTAAGTAATCCATAACATTAAGGTTTCGTGCGCGCGCGTGCGCGCACACACACACCACTTTGGTCGCAATTCCTTTCAACAGTTCCCCCCCCGCCCCCAACTAACATCTCAAATAATAATACTTGCGCCAGGGAAATTACATTTGCGCTGCAACACTTCAACAGAGATTATTGTAGTGAAGAGTTATTTTGTAGCACACAAGAGAGAAAAAAAAATACATCAAACCGCAAAATATTTGTCCTGACATTTTAGTTTTTATTACCTTTGCACAATTAACATTTCAAACATTTAACTTCTTGGCAAGAGTACAAAATACTCCAGAGGGCAAATTATTAGCTCTCTCATTCCCTTTGATTAATTCACAATGCCAACATTAATCTGACATTCCGTGCCAGACACGTTCATTTTCTAGCCTCACTATAATCCCTCATGAATGAAATTCATTCATCCGAGCCCCGACAGGAAGGAAGTCACCAATTCTAAGAGATTCCTTTCAGCAGGCACCCCGTCTAAACCAGCTGCCTTTTAATGTACTGTACATATGATCAAGAGATGTTCGATGTCAGCCTGACTCAGTTGTCAACATCTGGGACGCTGCTGTGTGCAATTGGCTGCCACGTTTCTCCCACAAAATATAATCAATTCACTTTACAGTATATTCTGTGAAGCGTTTTGAAGACTTGATAAGGCACTATTTCAAATGCAAGGATTATTATTATTATTGCCCACCCTACCATTCTTCCAACACTTTACAGTGAGCAGAGGAGTGCGCAAATCACAGGACCCAATTCCCAAGAAAACTTGGAAAGGTTACAGCAATGGCCTCAGTGAGAGGAGCTCGGGGCCACCTACTGAACAAGATGGTTGACTGGAACTGCTCAGCGGCAAATTAAATGAAGGCATCTGTCAACTTATTTATTATTCAGTCACTGTCAGTCAGAGAGCATTACATCCAAGTCTATTCCACTCACTAATCATTGCGCACAGAACCCAATTAACTGGTGCCCAACACAGTGGGAAAGCATTCTCAAACCACAGGAGATGGCAAAAGTACCTTTTAATCTAAAAGGGCGATAATCCCTTATCCGCACAACAAAAGTTCACATTTCTCTGCCTAGAGCGCTTCATGCTTAAAATTTTATAACTTTTCCTTCCGGGAGTCGCTGGTATTTTTAGCCTGTTAATAACACTAGCTCAGGAAAAAAATATATAGGCTTCAATCTGAAAAACTGCATAAAGGTACATATCGCAGCTCCTCACAATCACTCTCTATACAATCTCACATCCATCAAAAGACCCTTCAATTGAGATGCATTGCATCAAGTATGTCTAAAATAACAACCTCACATCTTTAATTGATAAACTTTTGTGATCTCTGGAGGAGGAAGAGAGGATTATGCTCTTAATATATAAAGCCATAAAAGCTTTCAGCTGAAGTAAAAATTTGACGATTTAACTATTTTAAGCTCCATTGTTAATTGCAATAAAAGTACGGGACAGAATGGAGGCAGTATCTGGATTTAGTTTGAAACATAATAATAATCCTTGCATTTGATATAGCGCCTTATCACGTCATTGAGACGTCTCAAAGCACTTCCCAGGAAAAACTGTAAAGTGAATTGACTGCATTTAGTGGGTGAAACATAAGAACTCTCCAAGAAAAAAAACATACTTGTAGTTTCATCTGCAAGCCAAACCTCTCACACATTGCTTACTTATATTCTGCATTTCATCGGAAACCAACAGCTCGGCATAATTACAGTCTGTGTGTCAGATGCACCTGCAGTTTTTGAAGAAATCAACCTGAAGTTCCAAAAGGGTGTTTATCTGCTGCTTCTGACCCTGCTGTTGCCCCTGGTGCAGCCTCGTCAATAATAATCCTCACATTTTATCACGTCTTCAAGGCAACTCAAAGTGCTTCACAGGATAACCGTGAAGTGAATTGACTGCATATTTTGTGGGCGAATATTTTGTTGTACTGAAGGAGGCCCCGGTGAAAGGTGGGGTGGAGGGAAAGAGACTGGGAAGAGAAGTGCAACACCGAATACACTTACTTGTGCTGTCTGATTTGTTGTATTGAAAACCTTTTGACAGGATCGTATTCAAGCATCCCTATAAGTGGGGGTGAGAAAGCCAAGAGAATTCCATTAGATCGGAAACATACACCAGTCTCTCCTGAGGACCCTCTGGAGTGAGGTCGAGTCAAGCGGAAGGTCGCATGCTGTAAACTCGTCACCTCCATAACCAGCCCATTATTCTACAGTCAGGGATGATCTTAACAGCCGAGCCAGCTCGTTAAATAAGTAAGGCACTCGGTCACTGTAAATCAAATTCACAATAGAAATGTCCTCAGTCTGCTGGCCAGCCATCAACTGTGACGCCAAGACATCATTGCATAAAATCTGTAAATGTACTTTCCATCGGTTTCTGTGGCTTGTCATAACCTTTGCTGTTAGTTACTCAACGTCTGCTCAGCGCTAAGGAGGGAGCGAGACATTGTGCTTACCTCGCAGTAAATCTGCTAGCAATGGGCCGCATTCCTCAGGAATGGTATAGTCACCCTTCCCTATGTTCTCAAATAGTTTGTAGATATTGTCTCCCTCGAACGGATAAAGCCCCGTTGTGATATTATATCTGGGGGGTGGGGGGAAAACAGAGAGAGAAAAGAGTAAACGATTATTTTCAGAGAAAGGATGAGAAAGCAGAGCCTAGTGGGGGCGCGTAGGTAAGGTATACAAACTGAGATAATGGTAAAACGGGCTGGCTTCTCATTCTCTGAGCAGTTTAAGTAGTTCAGCAAAAGAGAATTAGTTTTTAAACTGAAGAATTGGCAAAGGAATTGGAAATGTGTTATGCCCACATTATTCTCTCCCTCATCAATGCCAACTCTACCTGTTATGAACCAAGTGAGAGCTCAACATTACACTAGATGACGCATGAATGTAAGAAAGTAGTGCTGCTATATAAATAAAACAGTTTCCAGGTCACATCAGCAAACTGCACAGACAGCAGCAGCAGCTGAATATTCCATTAGGTTTTACACCACATCTTCACTTCAATCCTGTATCTGCGCCTTTGTTATTCTACATGTACACTGCCTTTTCATCCACAAAATAGTCACTGCACTTTCAGTATATTCTGTGATGCGCTTTGAGATGTCTCGAAGACGTGATAAGGTGTTATATCAAATACAAGGATATTATTACACCAATGAACACAAAATCAAACACGCAAACTAAAGGGGAAGGTTTCACGAGAGACTAAAAAGCACATCGAAAGCTCAAAAACTATTAAAATATACATTAATAATCCTTGCATTTGATACACCTCATCACATCGTTGAGACGTCGCAAAGAGTTTCTCAGGGTTTATACACAGTGTAGTGACTATTTCATGGGCAATGCAGGATGATTTAATAAGGGATGTGCTACATCTATTTTAGGAACTCAGAACGCTTTTTAATTTTAAAAAAAGCAGCAAATAATGGTGCAGAAGAACAGGACTTGTATAGGAACAGGAGACCATTCAGCTCCTCAAGCCTATTCTGCCATTCAATAGGACCATGGCTGATCTGTACCTCAACTGCAAATACCTGTCCTTGCCCCATATCCTTCGATACTCTGACCTAACAAACATCTATCCACAGATAGACTTACAGCGTCACTCCTGCAGACCAAATGTCCACCTTGAACCCTGAAAACGTATCAAGGCCATTGGCGATTTCTGGAGGCTGGAACGCTGGTGACCCTTGACTTGTCCTGCACGTGTCATCCTCCGCAAAGGGGTGTAAAGCCTGTAATGGAGAACAAGGGAGTACACCCAATGTCAAACCCCCAGTATCTGCAGTAAAGTGGGATATGTACACAACAGTCAATTAGCACACATCGAACAGCATTAGATTGTCCAGCAGCATTGCATATTTCAGCATGTTTATGTGCATATGCAATTCCTGCACAAGGACAGCCATTTGCACAAACTGGCCATCACTCTTCCGTTTCAGAAGAGAACAAAACCAGTTCAAGATAAATAACAGATCACATTAAATACAGTATTTGCCATTAAGTTGCACTAATGATCTGCTCTGGTAAACATAGAAAAGCAGTTATGAAATATTAATTCAGTTATGGTTTGTGCTGTGTCGTGCAGGTGAGACTGGGAGACGTACTTCTGCTACTCCTAGGTCTGAGATTTTCAAAGTGCCATCCGTTGTTAGCAGTAGGTTGCCTGGTTTAATGTCTTTGTGGACTATTCCTTGACTGTGCAAATATTCTAGACCATCGATCAGCTGGCAGAAGTACCTGTTCAAATTAGTGTCAAAAGGAAAGAATGTTTGGAGAGATTAAAACAGGGTACACAAAATGTCAAACTTCCTGTATGTGCAGTGACTGGATAAGCATACAACCAATCAATTAGCAAACCGCTAACACAGTGCTCCATTTCTCAACTGGGATGTTGAGCACTCTGTCCAGTAAGGTGGTAAACAACAGCAGCAGCAACTCTAGTTGCATTTCACGCAGGGTAATGTCCCGGATCGTTTCAAAAGCCGTCATTGTGGGCTTCAAGAGGGAAGCAGACAGGTATATGAAGGACAAAGGCTTGGAGAGATATGGGGACAGAGCGGGCAGGGGCAATGAATGGATGGGTTGTTAATGGGACCCCCAGATTGGAAAGAGGGGGGAGTTTCCAGAGGCATGTTAGCCTAAGACACATCAAACTGAGAAATATAAAGTTAAATAGAGTTACACTTTGCTCAACAGGTCTGTGCTGGTGTTTATACTCCACACAAGCCCCCCAGGTACCCTTCTCTGTTCCCTTCTCCCACATGTTCACTTCTCCCGACGTGAAAGGCCCCCTATAAATGCAATCTTGTGTTGTTGTTGTATACATCACGTTTTCACTTAAATAAAGCCATTATTTCCCACCACTACGCAATTCTCGAGTTGACTCACCCGTGAGCTTGAAATACTGGAAATTTCTTGTCGTGAACACTGTCCAACATTTCCTGCATCCCACAAACGCAATACTCCATTACCATATACGTTAGACTGAGTCAAGGAAAGGCAAAGTATTCAATCAACGTTAAAAAAACACTCTCTGAAGCTTTCTCTTCAGCACAAAAAGAAATAACTATATTCCAGGTTACACACAGATAAATGTATAGCTTTTATTGGCTTAGTTTTATGATTAGTTTAAAAGTTTTTTTTAATAAACTTGACAAATTATGTTTTGGCATTAATTTTAAGGTTGATATTAAAATAATAAAGCTTATTTTTTTTAAATAAAAATGTCAGTGCACACCAGTACCATAAAGATTAAAAAGAATCAGATTTCTAATGAAATGACAACTGCCGTACATGGCTGAAGTAATTTTAACCGTGTTTCAATCGGCAAGATCTAATGAGATTGTTTGCAGACCTTCAAATTATCTCTAAAATGGAGATAAAGAGCCACTTTAAAGCTGTTGCAGATACAACTATAACACGCAATAGTTCTGGTGTCGGCAGAGAACACAGAATTTCTAAAGCAATAGTAGGCACTAATCATTGCGTTGGAAGTGCTGGAGATTTTATTTTGACATTTGAAAACAGCCTGCATGTTTAATATCTGATATTACTGACAGAATATCAAAGTAATGATCCTCACATTCGAGACGACACCTAATCGTTTCGTCGAGACATCACAAATTGCTTCACAGGATTTCACTACAATGTAGTGATTATTTCGTAAGCAATGTGCAACCATTAACTACACTGAATTCCAGGTTGGTTAAATAGTTTGTTCAAAGCAGAATTATAAGAAACGCTCTCATCACAATTGCGTGCAGAAAAGTTGCCCACTTCCAAAGGCTTAAAGCGAACTACAAATTACAAAAAAAAGCACATGGCATTTTAAGGAAACATCCAAACCGCCCCCCTCCCCACCACCATTAGGCGACAGTTTGTGTTTTCAGTGTCGTGTCTGCAAAACACCTGATGACATTACTGTTTAAAATAAATTAATGTTACTGACATTTCAGAGGCTGCAGTGGGTGAATGGGATTTTGAGATGGTTTGCGTTACTCTCAGACTCTGCTGGTACCATTACACGTTGAGGTCATTACACATCAAAGGGACAGTAAAACCCACTTTGTGAAAAAAAACAAAATACAACCAGTATCCGAAACAGCAGCCGTTTGCTGATGTAGTCACACTGGTGTAGCAAAGGTTTTGTTTCCAGAAGATTCTCTATTTGAGCTCCAGAAGAGTCCAGAACAAAAACAATCTGTTTTAACACTCAACGTTAATATTTAATTAAGGCAATGAATGGGTAAAAGAAGTGTATTACAGTGAAGGCTGGAATAGTAAGCTATCTGAGATAGACTTGGCTATACTTCAAATTCAACTGCTGAGTAGTACTTCAATAAAGAATATTAACAATAAGCCCATGAACTGAGAATGTGTGAAATCCACTTAGAGGACATGAACAGACTGACATGACCAACTTTAAATCCATTCACAATACAGCTTCAAATGCAGTTTTTACAAGGAGGGGCATGACATATTATGAGGCTTGATCTGATCTGCAGTTTGGAGAGCAGTTGTCAAAAATGCCTTGCAACACTGCCATCTTGTGCAAGCAATTCCTCGTTGCTTGTCCAAGCAATTCCTCGTTGCAATGAACGGGCAATAAACATCCCACTTTGCCCATTAAAAATAATCTGGATACATTTAGAAATCAAAGTGTCTAGAAAAAACCCAGTTCTCCGTCTCCTCCTCTTAATCATTCCCAGGCAGGATGTAAAGGATATATCTTTTGCTTTTCTTCATTATATAGCACATCTACCAACTGGATTACATTTTTGTGTCGGAGTCTTCTGAGTAGCTGGATTTCCCTGGAATCGAGACAAGATTTTATTGTTAACAAAGGAAAGTACTTCAGTCGATCTCCTGTCCTAAAGTTAAAGAGAAAAAAATAGGAAGGAGCAAAGGGAGGAAATCAAATCTAACAAGAAACAACGATATAGATATGTATCTATACGTGTAAATTTGTATTGTAAAGATGATTATGTAACAAGAAAAATGATGCAGCACGCTAATATAGAAATTATATTAAATTGAAGTATTTAATTACACAGAAAGTATTTCACCCCCTGAAATATCAGATAATCAGCGCTTTGCGGCAGTGGCAATGGTAACATGTCATGCCTAATACACCAATCCTAAACGTACAGCTCAGATTTGACCAGGTTTATATTCAGCCTGCAATTTTACACAACCTACATTTTTTTTGCGGGGTGGGGGAAGGAGGGGTAAAAAAGAGCTCCTTTGAATAATAAAATGAATTTGCCTTAAACTATTAAGAAGGGGAAGAGGAAAAAAATAGCAAAGGTCAATATCAATTAAGCAGCCCCAGGCCCATGGAAATAGAAATACACAGCTGAAAATACCAGCCGTTTCTCTGAGGTGCCACGAGAGAGCAGCACAGGAATGCTGGCTGGATGAAATAACCTACAGACAGACAGACAGACAGACAGACAGACACACAAGGAAGGCCGAGGGAGCTCCACAACAGAACCAACCCTAGGAACGCACTATGCAGTCTGTGTATAAACAGTAAAGCTGTGCAAAACATGGCTAAAACTTCAAGTATTTCTTTATATCAACTCATTGACCAGAGTACAATATCAATCTGATTATAGGGCAGTAGATTCCAAACTAGCTTTCAGTGAAATAGGAGCTGGAGTTTTTGATTGAGACAAGTCTACTTAGATAGACCGGATTAAAGGTCACCATTAACATGATGGACAACAATTGGGTGTTTTGTTAGACAGAAAGATCATCTCAATTACTTAAGGCGGTAAGGATCTTCCCTGACTGCTTTACAGCCCAGGCACTGTTCAGAGCAATAATACTTTGAGAAACACATTGAAGATTTTTTTGAAGTGTTCAATTCCCCTCAAATGTATTTTCAATGTTGATTTGCAAACAGACAATGAGTCACAGGTTGTCACTTGCAGTCGGCTAAACAAACATCTCTATTGCCCACTTTCCTCACGTTCCTCTGAAATGCTTGGATTGGGCTCCAGCTAAAAGCAGTGATGCGTTACAGAATGTGAAGACAGGGGCAATGATTAATAGATATTCCAGTGAATCTGACAACATAACTTACAAGAAAGAAGCTTGGAATGCGTTAGGTCAAGGCAGAAGTTGATTTCTCATATTTAAACAGCTTTAATTATTTTACATATATTGTACTTCGTGTGGCCATTTTCTCTTTGTCAGTCAGTTGGTGTATAGCCACTCCTGCTCTGGAATGATGCCAACTGTCAAGTAACCCAAGGTCTCATTGTATTCAAATGGATCCTGCAGCCACTTTCAATTAGCACTGTATTACAAGGTACGTGAACCCTCGGTAGTCTGCCATTATTGACACACACAGCTGGATTTTGGTTAGATTTAAGAGTTTTTATACAAACTGGTTAAAATACCATTGCCAGTAGCAGGATCAGCTAAACTGTGACGCTCACAGCAACCTGCACACTGCAGCTCTGCTCTTAAGCACCGTTAAGCTGCAGTCATTAAAAATCCATTATCACGGTGAAAGTCGTCACTGCGATAGACTTGTCGGGTGGGCAATTGCAGGATTATGTTGTTTGGTGGGTCCTGCAGTTTTCTGTACAATGTCTTGCCCACTTGTCCAGTCCTTTCCATACCCAGTGAAAAAGGATTGTTTGGGTTTTACTGCATGCCAATCAATCACTTTAAATAGCGCAGGTCATTTTATGGTTCAACATCTGGCTAACATCAAAGCAACGCTCTGGAATCAGTTTCAACTTTGAAGGAAGCAGAAGTGTTCGTTGTGAAAGGCAATTGGATGGTTCATCATTCAGACACAAGGGCAAAGGAATACAGCCATAGCTGTTGCTGATGATGGAAAAATGTTTTAAACATATATGGGCGTAAAGATTGTTAACATGCAGTCCCTTCTTGGGCCCCATGTTCAAATTCAACCCAATAGCAAGAGAGGCTGATAAGAAAGAACTTACATTCTTAGTATCTTATCACAGTGACGATCTCAAGGGACTTCACTAGTAATTACTTTTTTGAAAGCCAGCAAAGATCCCACATACAGCTATGAAGTAAATGATCAATTAGCCTGAAGGCTTGCAGTTTGATGCATCTGTTTAGCAAACTGACTAGCAAACTGGCTAGTTTTCTTTAGCCACAATAGTAGTTTATTACGTCGGATCCTGCACCACTGGAGGATAATGTCCCTCAAGGGAGAGTGCGCATTGCATTCCAATAAACATTTCTAGAGTTTCCATGGAATTCTCAGCTTGGTTTGGAGACTCTGATGGGTTTCCGCACGCGTTAAGACACCTGGCTGACCCAAAGTAAAGATGAATCTTCAGGAGAACAGTATAGATTATCAAGTGTAACTCAGCTTGCATCAAACTCTCAATTTGCTATTTCAGTTTAACAGTGAGCACGGCTGGAATTATCCTGACCATGACTATGTCCCTTGACAGTTGGAATTATTCAAGCTCAGGCCCAGAATTCTGGTCGCATTTCAAATGTCACAAATTGACTATTCCACCGACTCTTTCCTCCACATTGAAAGCATAAAAACAACCCAGTTAACTGGCCGGAAGGTTACAAGGTTCACAGCACACCCACTGTAGCTGTGCTGGGGCAAAACCACTTCCTTCAACAACACTTACTAAACTTTCGCTCGTACTCAGATCAGCAAAGCCCAGAATTACACTGCATCACATTAATTTTGTGTAGCGCCTTTCACATCGGAGGACGTCTCAAGACGCTGGGCAGTCAGGGATTTGGACCCGAGCTGGGGTTTGGGATCAGGAGTGAAGGCAGGAAGTGTAGGAGTAGGAGGGTGGCCGAAGAGGAGAGTCTTAAGACTTGCCTTGACGAGGCAAGGGAGGGTTTCCCTGTTGTTGAAGAAAGTGCTTCCTATCAACACAAATAACGTAGAAAAACTGGCCCTTTAATTACAGCAGTCATCTTTTAAAACCAGAACAAAGAATTAATCATTGTAAAAATATGTAATTATCCTTTTCTACCTCGCTTCTCCCTAGAGAATACAGGGTTTATGAGCACAACTTGTAACTTTTTAATTTAAAACTCAAAACTCGCCCAAAAAAAAATGATGGCGGGAGGGGGATGAAATATCCAATCACTTAATCCAAACACCACACATCTAACAACCAACCAAGGACGGTGGAATTACTCTGCCCTTCGAAATGAGCTGGCAAAAGAGAAGGCTTTCTGTGGTTCATTTATAAAGAATGTATGTGTAGTGCAAGAATAGAGTTCACTCAGTTCAAGAACTCGGCACAACACCGCTTGCAACATTATAAGGTCAAAGAAAATCAGCTTTACGTTAGCTTTTAATACTGGGTCACAGCTGTTGCAGTATATTAACAGGTCTATTTCAGACGTTTTTCTCAATTGAAAATACATGGTCACAGAAAGTTAGCGTTCAGGCTGAGGTTGTGATGTCATTTTCAGGCAGTATTGACAGATACTACAATACTGAATATATAGAGGGCAACCCGTCTACAGACCTGACTAACATCCAATAGATTGCTAATATCTGGTCGGGAAATGATGGAAAGAGCTGTACGTGACAAAAACAAGAACTTGCATGTATATAGCGCCCCTTATGCAGGGTAGTGCTGGAGCTCCAAGTCCAAAGCTTGCACAAACACCCAATGCTTATATCTAGGTCCTCATGAGAGGGGCCTGGACAGAGACCTGCCCGCTGTGAAGCCACTCTTCTCCCAAAGCAGGTTTACTAAGTACCAGAATAGTGCGCTATTTGGGCTGTGGAAAATGTTGTGCATTTCCTTTTAAAAGAAGGTTTAATAGTTGAAATTCCTTCCAATGTTGACTAGCCCCTAGTTTGGCATTTGTCTACTTACGTAGAACTGGTTAACTGTAACCAGACAGAATACTGGATTGCTAAACTTGTAGAAGACACATGAATGAAACGTTAGAAACCCAGAATATTTCAAACGTCGAACTCCCCAAGCACTGGTAGTCTGTAGGGGAAATGTGCAATTTACTTCAATCATGGTAAACAAACACAGCCAACTAGGTTTTGCTGTTTGCACTGACTACTCAGCTGAAAGAAATATTTCTTCTGCACACTTTGTTTCAGGACACTGGAAAGAAACACGTACACAAGTCCATTATTTTATTCTTTAGTGCTGCTTAACCTATCGGTGGGGGAGGGGGGGTAAACAGGGTGGTTTGATCTCATAAACATCTAGCAACATAGATTTCTTTCTATTACAGGAGTGAGCAAGGTTAGAGGCCCAAACACTGGGGTAATAGGGTAATAGAAACACCAAACATTTGCTTCTTAGTCATTGAACATCAATGAAAGATTGTCGAGCTTTTCAAGTGGACAAGCAGATCCTCACAGCTGGTGGCAAAAAAAGTGACTGCATTAGCAACACTGATGCATCCAATTTAAAATCAATACAAAAACACACAAGGCTTTAAAACAACACAGTTCAGCCACCTCCACAACCTGCGAGTGAAGTCCAGCTCAGTCCCATCTGTTTACACCTAAAAAGGCCTTTTCCTGTCCTGCACATTCTGTTTCCCTTATACTTAACTAAAATCTCCTCTCACTACCGCTCCAGGCTTTCGCACATAGCATGTGTGTGCAGCTTGTGCTACGCATCATGTTCCCAGCGCCTTGGGATGTCCTCCTGACATGAAAGGCGCTTTATAAATGCAATTTGTTATTGTAGTGGCTCTTGGCTCCACAGAGCTTTTCTGCACAGCTAGTATAACTGGAGGCACCAATGCTCATCCAGTTATCACTCAAGCTCGCTCTTCAATTGTTCCAAACCATCACTAGCTCTCTCTCGCTCTCGCACGATTTATCTCTAGGCTGAATCTCGTGGAGTTGTTGTTCGGAATTGAAGATGCATTTCAGTTAAAAAAAAACCTCAGAAAGAAACTGGACATTTCGCTAACGAAGCTGCTTCTTTCTTAATGGATTGACGTGACATGATAAGTTATTTTCAGATTGTCAACAGTACTTGGTTACATCCCGCAACACACATGCCACAGAAGTCTGTAATGATCCATTTTCAAAGACTGGGGACTATCTTCAGCCTCTGTCCGTGCAATGTGAACAGTTTATCCCACAAACTGGGATTTATTGATGCTCACATCATGCTGTGTTCATTTAAGAGCGAGTCTCCCATGTTAAGGAATTGATGTATCTGAAACTCCTGCGCTGTATAACATCGGGGAAAGGGGAGTGGAGGAGAAAGCTCCGGAATGTTTAAAAGCCTCTGAAACTCCGACATGTTAGGTTACTGATTGGGACACAGATTCAAGCCAGGAATTCCTCACAGAGGGTTCATGCCCTGAGCCGACAGCAATGGTGCTGATTAACTGGCTATTGGGAGATGCTCGAGAACATTCTAGATTGCCTAGTCCTCTGATTTTCACCGTTCCCATGGCAGTTTTGCACTTGCTCAGCAAAATCAATAACCAGCTGAGGTCACAAACGCCTCATGTGCATTGTAAACACATCAATATGCCTCATCGCCAGGACACCAATCTCAACCATTTAGTTGGCTCGGTTCGATCCCCCAACCTTGCCGAGGTTTATTTTATGACCGACTCTCACCATCAGCCTCCAATCTCAAATCGAATTTGGGTCTTGCTAAAGCATCCTCCAAAATCTTGCTTTCCTCTTTCAAACCAAATGCTTACAGACCGCCCAAAATTCCACACGGTCTCAGAGCTGAACATGACCCATACAATATGGAGGGGGTCTCTCAAATAGATATTGCACTGTCTCCTACTGTACGGTCGCATGTGAAGACCTTCCTCAGACTGACATATTTGGTTCTCTAATACTCTCTAGCGCTGTGTAGCAGACGGCAGGTAATCTTGCCTAAGAGTCATTTGTGCACAAACAGGGACTCAGTAATCAACAATCAGGAAACAATAACGTGTGGCCAACTTACTAACTTACAAGCTGCACAGTCCAGACTTTAACCTGGTAAGATCACAGTCAAACAGCCTTGGGCAAGGCAGCATGGACTTCCCAGTTCAAGAGTCGCACTAATTAAGTTACTAAAAACAAAACTTTATAGCAGGGGTGTAGGCTCCATCACTTGTTATGCAATAAACCAACAACGTTCAATGCAAACAGTAGGATGGATATTACCACCTTCAATCTATATAAAAAAACAAAAAATTACATTTGTGTTATGCCTTTTACATTTGGAGGACGTCCCAAGGCATTGGAAACGCTCAAATTGACTTGGATTGTAGAGTTAACAATAAAACTGCATCTGATATCGTGCTTTATCAAATCGTTGAGACGTCTTAAAAGTGCTTCGAGAAGGAGAAGAGAGGGCAAAGAACACGGGTACAAATAAGCACTTTAATTCCTGTGGAAGGTGGACGGGAGGTTAGCACGGTCTGTGCAATTCAGAATGGTGTAGGACATCTTTGTGCAGTTTTATGTCCTCTGCCTCCAGGTGGCTTTGCAAGGTGGTAAGTAAACATGCCCAGTAGGATGACAAGTCATTTGATTGTGTTTGCATCACTGTCTAAGACACACGAGTGAAACTTGCCAGATTCTAGAACAGAGCAGCGCCGATCACATCACAGGGGAGAAGACAAGTTGCCTTTATCGATTCCACCCATATCATGCTGGATTTGTTTCAACGATGAGCAGCCAAATAGTTTTAAAAATCCAAGAATTGAGAGCAGAAAAGAACATGTGCTTGAAAGATGCATTTCAGAAAATGATTGAAAAATCCACTTACTCATTAATGTGAACTACTATATAAATAACTAGGTGTGTCAAAATGGGTGATTCATGCAGTATTTTGAAATACATGTACATGGGACAATGAGGAAATATTGACAAGCATATGAAAACATCACTATGAGATGACCTAACCCATGAGTGACATTGCTAATCGCAAAGCAAAATTTAAATGTCCAATTTCTTTTAACCTCTAGATTCTCCAAATTAATACCTACTTACTGATTTCTCTCCCCTTTTAGTTACCCATTGAAAAGGAGGGAGATAAGCTGTCAAAAAGCTCTGTCATAGCCAGACAAAACGTCCCTTGGAGGAAGTAACTTGCACTGAAATTTTTTTAATTCAACCCATTAAAATTACACAAGTTTCTCCCGCAAATACTCCAGGTGTAACTGGCCACCACCCTGAATGGTTTCCTAGCTGGGTCCAACCTAATTGCAGCAGGAAACATATGTGAGAGACTCCAACACCATTTCCACATAGCTCAGTGTTACCTTTCCTTATGTTGACATGACCCAGGTCAGCCCCAAGAAGCCAACTGAGGAATATAAAAAGGCAGGAAGACAAAGCGTCAGATTTAGATGACATGTTGAATTCACAGGGCCATTGGTGTCCCAAACGCAACTTGATCCGGCAGCACATCAGAGCGCAAATAAAGTTAACTACCAAACACAACCACTGCGGTGCGCAATTGGTTGGTGCGTTTCGCCAACAAATATACAGTCACTTCACTTTATAGTGTATTCTGTGAAGCGCTTTGAGACGTCTAGAAGACATGATAAGGCGCTATATCAAATGCGAGGATCACTATTGTTATTATCACTGTGCAACAAGCTAGAAAGCATGTATCCTGCATAGCAACAAGCAATGCAGGTCAAAAGTAGGAAGTCAAGCAACTCAAATAAACTGCTTCTCCACTGAACCTACTTCCTCCTCAACACACATTTCTGGAGCAGACTTTAAGGCCAGTCAGTCCCAGATTCCCCATCCTTACAATGACTCAGCCAAGACTCAATAATATTTTCCATCTTAGAGAAAGCAGTGTAGAGTAATATGAATTAAACTGAAACAATCTCTGGACAGAAAAGAATTCTGGTTCGGTAAAATCGGAAGACAATTAAACTGATTCAGCTTTGACAAAGTTGGATTTTAAACTTTTGATCAAAAGTATTATTTTCCATGAATGTATTTACCTGTTCAGCGGAGTTCAACTCCGAGTGAAATGCTAGTCGGAGCCACGGTACGTGCAACCAGAGTAAAATTGTTTTTCCCAACAAAGAGTACAGAAAGGAGTTTGTAACACCCCAGAATTGTGTGCATAGAATTTTTTTTAAAAAAGTCCTGCACCCCATCGCAACTATAAATGGGTGTTTACGAGGTAAACAGTGTCAACGTTGGCAACATTTGTCCCCCCATTGAGATGGTTATGGCATTAAAACCAACATCCAATATTGCCGGCTATGGTTTGCAGAATGCTGGAATTTACCTCAAACCTAAAAGAATAACTTTTTAAAATTAAATATACTGTATATGTTGAAGTGCAATTTAGAATATCTAATTACTGGCCCGTGCGACCACCCAGTTGGGCTGCGGTTCTCACTGAGAACAGGAGCTTTTTGCAGGAGGACAGGAGAGGGGAAATCATAGCCCAAGCTGCTGCAAAAGCGGAGGCACGGAGTCTCTCTGGCCCTCTGACCCTTGAGTTTGTGCGTGAGCGCTTCTGTCGGAGTCGGGTAATGGGGGATATCCATCTCTTGGGTTCTTGTGGGTATGTTTGGTGGAATCCCGATGTTGGCGGGTTGTTGGATACGGGGAGGGTTCGTCAATATGTGGGGTGAGCGGATCGGCACGTGTGTGGTGGCGAGGCGGGAATGTGTGGGGGTTAGTGTGGTTGTTATGATGTGATTGGTGGTGGGGTTGGGGGGGTTTGTCTGTGGATTCAATATGATTGGGGGGAAATTGCGTGTGTATACATACATACACACACACTGTATATACATGTGGGGGGAGGGGTTAATGCACGGGTTAGTGTGGTGGGTTGTTATGGTGTGATTAGGGGTGGGGAGTAGTGTGTAGATTCATTATGATTGGGGGGGAAATTGTGTGTGTGTATATATACTGTATGTGTGTGTGTGTGTGGTGGGGGAGGGAGGGTGAAGCTTTCCCAGGCCTCCCTTCCTCTCTCCCCACATCCCCTCACTCACTCTCTTCCCTACTCACTCTCCCCCTTCCTCATTCAAACTCCACCCTCCCCTCACTCACTCTCTCCGCTCCTCACTCCTCCCCTACTCACTCTCCCCCCCTTCTCACTCTCCCTCACTCACTCTCCCCCTCCCCCACCACTCCCCCTTCACTGACTCCCCCCCCTCACTAACTCCTCCCCTACTCTCACTCCTCCCCCCTCCTCACTCACTCTCCCCCTCCCCCCACCGCTCCCCCCTCACTCACTCCCCCCTTCACTCACTCCCCCCCTACTCTCACTCCTCCCCCTCCTCACTCACTCTCCCCCTCCACACCCCCCTCACTCACTCCCCCCTACTCTCACTCACTCCCCCTCCTCACTCACTCTCCCCCTTCCCCACCACTCACTCTCTCCCCCCTCCCCCCACCACTCCCCACCCTCACTCTCTCCCCCCTCCCCCACCACTCCCCACCCTCACACTCACTCTCTCCCCCCTCCCCTCTCCACCCTCACTCTCTCTCTCCCCCCCACCCCCCCTCTCCCGCGCTCACTCACTTTTTGACGTTGGCCTCCCCGTTCGGGATCCGCCGCAGCTTCTTCTTCTTGAGGATCTTGACGGCCCGGCGGCACAGCGTGTCGGTGTCGAGCATCTCCTTGACTTTGCCGTACGAGCCCTCGCCCAGCAGGTCGCCCATCAGGTACTTGCCGATGATCTTGGCGCGCTTCTTCCTGGGCTGGTAGATCACGTCGGTGGAGTCGATCCGGTGGATGAAGGTGTCCACCCCCATCGGGTCGTTGTCGCCGCCGATGTAGTCGATGACTTCGTCCATCTCCAGGTAGTCTCTGAAGGCCGGCAGCATCAGCTCCGGGTCCGGCTCCGCGTCCGGCTCCTCCGGCTCCTGTCGCCGCTGCTCCGCTCCATGCAGCATCGCCTCCGCTCTCCTCCCGCTGCGCTGCGCTGCCCCTCTCTCTCTCTCTCCCTCCCTCCCGCCTCACTGACTGACTTGACTGACTGACTTGACTGCCAGTTGTTAGGCAGCCGCCATTTTATTTACCTGCCGCCCGACGACTAGGCGGGAGGAGAGGATGGAGAGAGAGGGAGGGGGGGGGGGGGAGCCCGCGCCGTGCGTCTTGACGCACTCACGCACGTCAACTCCCGCCCTCGCACCCACCCGTTGGTCCGTCCGCCCGTCAAGCATCACTTCCGCGCTCTCCTGTTGGTCTAGTGTCACGTCAATCACTGGGGGGCGGTTTGCTCGCTCACCATTGGCCAATCACCTCCTCCCCCCCCGCCCCTCACGCCCGTTCCCTTGAACGTGACGCACGTCCATCGCAGTCGTCGCCTGGGAACGCGGTGGGCCCCGTCCCGCCCTGAGTGTCCGCCATTGGTCAGTCTAGAGGTCCGCCCCGCCCCGTGAGGTGGATACTGGCATCTGATAGGCTAAACCTTGTGTCGATCATAAACTTATTGGCAAATCAAGCGTTGGCTCTGCTATAAACAGCAGGAGATGACCCGCCCCCAACCCCCCACCCCAGAGGTTACTTGGTGTCAAGGGACAGGGCAAAGGGTCTCATTGGGTGCCAAAGGCTGGCAAACTTTGATCCCAATCCCGCGGGGGTTTCGTCAGGAGCCGTCGGCCACGTGCAGACAGCAGGCAAACAGCAAACAACAACAATTATCTTCTTGGCCCGACGCCCGCGGGCACCCATCGCCATAGGAACCGGAGGAGGCCATTCAGCTCCTCGAGCCTTGTTCCGCCATTCTATTAGCTCATGGCTGAGCTGTACCTCAACTCTCATTACCCGCCCTTTGCCCCGTATCCTTTGATCCCCTGACCCAACAATCTGTGGCCGAAAAACTGCCTCCTGATTTCACTCCTGAACGGCCTGGCTCTGATTTCAGGATTATGCCCCTTGTTCTGGATTCCCCGATGCTTAAGAGTCCAAATCCAAACCCAAACCCAACGGAGAAGTCCATGCATCCCACCTGCACATGAAAATCGCAGAGAAAGATTGTTGGAACGGCATGGAATGGGCGCGCTCACTCTCTCTCCCGGGTGGGACGTCCCCTGCTGAACCTATTCTGGAAAGTATTGGGCCAAGTCGGGAAGGAAAGGTAGCTGACCACAAACAAGCGGACAACAGGATTAGTTGTAAAGTGTTGTGACTATTTTGCTGCGAATGTTGCATCCAAAATGCACATGTGGGTTTGACCCCCCCCCCAACCCCTCTTCCCGAAGAGAGTGGAATCCAGAAGCCACGTAGGACAGTGCGGTGTTTACACTCTTTACAAAATCACCAACGCTCGAAACCTCTAGAAAACTGACCGGCCACAGAGTAGGTTTTTGCTGATGATCAGATTTTGCGAATGGCCACATGTCTGTCCTGTCTCCTGGATTCAGCACGAAGTGGATCCCAGCAACAATTCAGCTTCGCTCCGCAACTGGCAAAATCTCATAATATTATCAATAATAACCCTTGCATTTGCTGTTGTGCCTGATCACGCCTTCGAGACGTCTCAAAGCGCTTCACAGGATATACTGCGAAGTGTAGTGACTGTGTATTCTGTGGGTGAAACACGGTAGCCAATTGCACACAGCAGCGTCCCCACAAACAAATCACAGTTTGACCAAATTGTTATGATTTAATTTTTTTTATATAGATACAAACACACCCAGGTTTAGTGTTTCCTGCTCTTGACATAGCTCAGCAGGATAAAATACCCCAACACCTCTCTCTCACCCCCTCCCAACACCTCTAACTGGGGGACTGGGATCCTTTGGGGTGGGGGGGGAGGCGGTGGGCGCTGTCACCACGGCACAACGTATTAAATTCAGGTTAAGAGTCGAGTGAGCTTATCCCATCTCGGTCGGCTTCACAGCAGTGGATGTGACACCAGCTGACAGCCTCCACTAACATAGGGTGACACAGAGCAAGGGCTGTGTTATTTTTATTGTTGCCCTTCAGTGATGTTTAATGGTTAGTGGTAACCGCACGTGGAAGTCCGCATGAGGATCCCAGCTCCATCCTCACCCCCCCCCCCGGGCGTTGTTAAGCTATGGCTGGATATAAAGCACCCAGTGATTCCCGGCAAAACTGTTCCAGCGGAGAAATCGCATCAAACTTCAGCCTCGGAAGTCCAACGATTGGCACAATAGTAACCCAGGCATTTGATCCAGCTCCTTATCACATCCGGCCGGAGTCTCAAGGGGCTTCCCAGGATTCAAATTACATTTTTAAAAAAAATAATCATAATTTGGTCACTCAATCCACGACTGTTTGTGGGACACTCATTGCTGTGCACAATTGGCTGCTGTATTTCACCACAAAATATAGTCAATTCACTTTACAGTATATCCTGTGAAGCGCTTTGAGACGTCTCGAAGCTGTGATAAGGCGCTGTGTCAAATCCAAAGATCATTTTTATTATTATTCACAGTGCAGTGCAGTGACTGTATGTTTTGCCTTGTGCTCACTCAACTCGTTTGCGCCGAATTTCAGAACCTTGTAACATTTCTTTTAAAACCAGACTTACTTACCTTGTCCGCAGTTCATTATCTTCCAGTCATCGTCTCCTCCCAAGCGATGAACACTCTCTGATGTATATTAACTCGAGGAAACCACTAACCTCAGCAGCTACATTCAATTACTCCCGCGAGCAGCTGGCGGCTACTCACAAGTGTTACATGGACAATAGTAAACCCCAAGGCATGACTTGCAACAGTCATAGAAAATATGACTGTTTGTGGGACACTGCTGTGCGCAATTGGCTGCCGCGTTTTGCCCACAAAACTATACTTTAAGGTATATTCTGTGCAGCGCTTTGAGACGTCTCAGCGACGCTGTATCAAATGCAAGGATTATTATTATTGCATCTGTTGGAATAGTATACAGTAATCTCCTGATAACTTGACCCAAACTTAACTAGTCACAAACCGCTTAAGTCACCATTGCTGTCAATATCCCGGACATATTTATTTATGTATTTATACACACATTTATACACTCGCAAGAGTTTATTGTAATAATAATCCTTGCATTTGCTGTGTGAGTGAGAGCGGGAATGGGAGTGAGAGTGGGAGTGAGAGCGGAAGTGGGAGTGAGAGCGGGAGTGGGAGCAGACTGGATGGGCTGAATAATTTCCATTTCTCCTTCCATCTCCCCCACAAAACGCTCACTGCTCTCTCTGGTGGTCAGGACTAAGAACCAACCGGTCCCAGTAACGATAACAAGTCCTCGCATCAGCTGCAGCACGTCTCACGTCAGGTGGACGGCTCGGAAACCGCGTCGCAAGGTTTCACTGCAGTAAGTGTAGTGACTGTGTGTTGTGAAGGCCAACACGGCAGTCGATTTGCATGCAGCAGGCGCTGTATCAGATGTAAGAGCCATTGTTATGAATATTTATTATAATATTAATCTTTGCATTTGATACAGTCGCGCCTTATCACATCGTTGAGACGTCTCAAAGCGCTTCATAGAATATCCTCCTGTAATGTGGAGTGACTGTGTGATTTTGTGGGCGAAACCCAGCAGCCGATTGCGCACAGCACGGTATTAAGCGTATTGAGAGATGTGGAGCGAGGCGAGCGGAGTGGAGTGGAGGGTATGTGTGTGTGTGTGAGAAGAGCTGCCCTCAGCCCTCCTGCCCGGTGTCCTGCCAGCCGGAGCTGTTGAGCTAAATATAAACCGTGAGCTGGACACACAGTTCAGGTTACAGCAGCTCAGCTGCCGGGAGCTCAGGTCAGGGTTCCTTCCAGCTGTGGGCAGCTTAACACAGCGTATGTGTGTGTGTGCGTGTGTGTGTGTGTGTGTGTGGGGTGGGGGCGGGCGGGCGGGCGGAGAGGGGCAAAGGGCAAGGAATGGTGCCAAGAGCTCAGAAGGGTTTGAAATGTCAGCAAACCATTTGGTTACTTTGGCCGCTCAATCCACAGCTGTTTGTGTTTCGCTGCCGTGTGTAATTGACTGCCGTGTTTTGGCCACGAAAATATATATAGTCGGTTCACTTTTTGCGGAGTGTCCTACAAAGCACGTTGAGAAAACGTCTGAAAGACACAAGTGCCTTCCCACAGCGCCCGGCGGGATTTACCGTGTAGTGTAGTGACTGTGCGTTTCGGAGGCAAACGCGGCACATAATTTTTTGCGCAAAGCGGCGTCTCGCACGCCACCTTGAAGCGTACGACTGGTGTTATCTGGGGGATTGTCGGCTATAATAATAATAATAATAGCAATAATAATGATCACCCTCAGCTTCGCTGGGAAGTGTTGCAATGTCTGTCGCAGTTCCCAGCTGTGGCCACCTGGTGGCGCACGGCGCCTCTCCGTTAAGGTCGCGTTTCGCCCACAAAACACAGTCAATTCACTTTACAGTCTATTCTGTGAAGCGCTTTGAGACGCCTCAATAATAATACTAATAACAATACTCCTGGCATTTGATCCAGGGCCTCGTCACGTCTTCGAGACGTCTCAAGGCGTTTCGCAGGACGTACTGCAAGGTGAATTGACTGTAAAGTGTGAGCGAAACATCTCAATGGCTTAATAAGACCCCAAATGAAATGCAGGGATTATTATTATTATTATTATTAGAGGGTTTGAGCCCACAACGCTCTGGGGCTGAGGACAGGCAGTTAGGAGGAAACACAGCTCTCTGTACGTTGCTGTCTGACTCACTGCCGGTGCTGAGTGACACCTGATCACAGCCTCGATGCAAACATCTGCTTGTGACAGATTCCGGTTTCAATTTAAATTCTTTTAAAGTTGTTATGCAAAGCGCGAGGCCATGCGATGCATCCGAACATGCAACCCTGGGGCAGGTCTCTGTGCTCACGGTCACACGCAGACACCCAAGCCTGGCTCGGTGTCACGCTCCGCGGGGAGACACTGCCCCGGGTGTCGGGCGCTGTGTTAACGCAGGTTGTCGTGGTTCTTGTCTTTCGCAGCGGCTCAGGCCTTGGTATCTAATGTCAGTCAGAATGGGGCTTCTGTCCTTTGGCAGCTGCGTGTGAGTGAGTGCGTGTGGGAGTGCGTGTGTAATTGTGTGCGCGTGCGTGTGTGAGTGTGAGCGCGTG